GTCTACAATTGACAGGATGTGCTTGGAGAAGAATTAATTATTTTTGCGAATATTTTGGCGATGGATCAAACAATCGTGATTAAAGTATGTAGTTTTACATCAAATAATTATTTTTTGACATCAATTATTGATTAGTAACTGCACTCGCGATCTGTAATTATTCATCGGCAATTATCAAATGAAATATGCCATCTTTATTAGAGTCTTTCCATTAAAATAATATGTTAGCATGCGTTAATTTATCGAGTCAAGCGAAGTGAAAGGCATAATTGCTGTTTAATGAATAATTGATAACTTAATTATCATTAGTTGATGCTTAATTGTTTCTATTATTTATTCATCGTGATTACTCTGATTACATTATAATCATAATAATTAATAATTTGATCAGTTGTATCTAGCGTAATCATCGATTTGATTATTAATTAATTAAATTTTGCACGACTCTTGTGCAGTTCATTAATTAATGAACATTCAAAACGAAGTTGCAAGATATTCCGTTGTTAATCTTGCGTAGTGACTGTGAAGTATATTCTAATGCATAGGAAATGTAATTTGCGGTGAATATATGCATAAGGCGCGTCAGGAACAGCGGTACGTGTGTGGCCTTGTTAACGCACACACACACTCGCACATACACACGCGTTTCTATCATCTTCCGAGCAAAAACGCTGATTACAGATATGTTGTAACAGCACGTCTGAGTTGTCTAACACAGTTATCACGCAAAGTCGTCCTCGGTAAACATCACTCGAGAAGTTAACTAAAGTTTTAAGCGAAACTCTCCTCTTTCTCTGTCCAGAAAATAGCGGAGGAATCAGTTGAAGCACGGTTGACTCGTCCTCGACGTTTGTGCAAACGATTCGGAGAATTCGCACAAAAATTATTATCGTCGGTAATTATTATCGATCGAATAATGGATTGCTGCATTGCGAGCTCGCTTCTAATGAGCGTCGCATCCGGCCATTCAATTTTCCCGAAACGCCGCGGAATCGCCGTGAGCGAGATTTTTGCGAATTACCGCGGGATTTCGCGCGCGGTGTAAATAACGTCCGAACTATTCAATCGCCCGGCGCTGCGCCGCGATGATAAATGACAGGACGCCCCGGACGGCGACAGATTAACACGTTTCCACTATGGATTCGCCGTTTCCATGATAATCGACGGAGGCCTCTCGGCCCATATTGGCACGTATATGCACGGCACGATCCATTAGCGAGAGGATCTCGAGGCCGGCGGGATTAGCCGATTTTGTAGAGCGCGGCCGCATAATCGCGTCTTCGTTAACTCTCCACCCACCCACCCACCCGCCCCGCTCATATTCCCCGCCGCGCAGTTCTCAATTAGTTCGTATCAAGTGTCATCGCGGCGGATACTATGCGTGACGTCTAATTTTAGAAACGGCGCTTTTGATTAACGCGAATCATGCTGCTGGCTCACTCCTTCCTCTTCCTCCTCTCTCTCTCTCTCTCTCTCTCTCTCTCTCTCTCTCTCTCTCTCTCTCTCTCTCTCTCTCTCTCTCTCTCTCTCTCTCTTTCTCTCTCTCTCTCTCTCTCTCTCACTCACTCTCTCATTCGCTCCCGCATCTCGTACATCCGAATTGACGTTAAATAGCGCACTCATCGCGTTAATAATAGTGCGTTCCGTATTCGACAATCAACCGTGTTGGAAGTAAAAGGTCCGCGGAAAATTTTACGATGGATGGTACAGCGATGGGTATAAAGGAGGATAATGGCCGGGAATTTATTTTAATACATCAAAGGGGTATCGGAGTTCGATCGAGGTGAAAGACCTATTTGTGTTTTAGTACGTTGAAAGAAGTAGCGAGCGCTGCGCCAAAAAGAAGGCACTGCAAGATATAAAGGAGCGATTTTATTATGTTACGTAAACAAATTTTCCTTTTGTAACTCCAGTCGGTTTGTTTCTTCCTCCCTTTCATCGCGTGTTCTTCATTAGAGACGCAGAAACGTTCTTCTCGCTTCTTATACACGAGTGTTTCAATCCCGTGAAATAATTTATTCTTCATTATTTATTTTTAATTTAGAATACAGTTGTGACATACTATTTTATCTCAGTCGTGCATTATTAACTACGATGAATGGAAATCTTCATTTCTGCTTCCATCTTTAATTGTTTTCAATTGTGAGCTTGTTACGTTAATAAAACTTAAATTCAGCGCGCAGAATATAGACTATCATTTATTTTTAGTTTGGAATGCAACTGTTGCATCGTTTCTGTCACGCGTTTTTCTCCGTAATCAATAAAATTGTATTTTTGCTCGCATCTTTTATTGTTTTTAATTGTCAACTTGTACGCAATTAAAAACGCAAAATTCAATATATGCTTGAGATACAAACTGTTATTTACTGTCCGTTCGCAATGCAATTGTGAATCGTGCGGTGTTAAAGATTAAAAGTTTAATATTTTACTAGCATCTTTCACTGACAGTCCACAATTGTTAATTTGAGCTCAGCATATGCTCGAAACAAAGAGTTCGCCACTTTATCGCCAGCCGTTTCACGACGAATGTTGCGAAACGTAAGAATATTCAATTTCCAGCAATATCAATGCCAGCATTGTCGAGAAGTGGCTACGTACCACTGGCAGTATGTATGAAGTTGATGATCCAGTTGTATGTAATGAGGTCATTCCCTCTGAATCGAGTTCGTGCGTGTAGGAAGGTGACGTATTGCGAATCGAACGAAGTAACTTTGTAGCCGGCGGTGGTTTCAATTTCGCACAGTAAAATGCCGCTGGCTCTGCGAGCGATTGCCTGGAGCCGTTGCGTGATTTTTTTTTTCTCCACATTCTGCCATTTCGATATTCACTTTGTTTCCGCTTTTTTTTTCTTTTTTGAGAAAAAAGCTCTAACAATTTCGCGCATGATGCTCGTGGCAAAAAGTGTCAGTTCGTACCTTTGAGGAAGGATAAAAATGCGCGTCTAACCAGATGCATGAGCATAGCAATCGATCTCGATAATGGTATGAATAAAGTTTTACATTATCCTTCCGTTATTTATGCGTGTTCCGTTTTATCGCGCCGCGATCGCTTTCTGTTATTATATTTGCGTCGTTGAATTGCACTCTTTCGGAGAAGATTAAATATTTATACATTACTGCATATTACAGCAAGTTCTAAATAATTGAAAATCTATTATCAACATTCTAGAAAATTTAAATTGTCGACAAAACATTTTTAATCGGTTTAACTGCGATTATTTGGTCAACTCTTTAAAAAATGTTTGCTATTACACTATCAAGTTTTTTTTATGACGCTAAACTTTTTCAATGAAGTATTTCGCACGCTTAATAATTGAGAATCGCGACGTTTTCCGCAATTTTCTTAACAGGCCTTATTGTAGCTGATACATTCGCATTCAGCATTCAGTCGAGGGTCAGAAATTCGACCCGCGCGATGAAATCAAAACCATACATTAATTGGGTGAAAATTGTCGGCGGGAGAAAACCAGGAGGGGGAAGAGGGGGATAAAACCAAGAGGGACGAGGGAGCGAGAGGGAGAGCTCGTAAGAAAGGACAGTCAGGCGGTGTGGCAGGGGGTTACGCTCGGAGTTTGACACAGTCAGAGACCGGCGTTGCTTGGCAACCTCTAAGGGTGGAAACCCACATTGGCGTAGGGTACACTTGCGACGAATTTATGCGCCATTACCATTCCTCATACCTGGTCGTTCTCCCTCCCCCCCTTCCCCCCTTCGCGAGGGGAACACGTGGAAAAACGAGTGAATGAACCCGACGAATGTAATCGGCTCACGATGAATACGACGAAATTGGCTATTTATTCTAATGACGCGCGTATTGTCGCGAGGAGGACACGCGCGTTTCGTCCACTGGCGATCCTTTTTCTCGCCGATGAAGTATCTGAATTGCCACTTACTCGGGCTGTTTCGCGTCACGCTGGTGCATCTTATATCCGAGGTCCGTAATGACACTTTATTTCACCTTAATGCCGTGACATATTTAATCTCTATTCATGCCCGGAATTATGTCCTTGGTCTCTTTTTCCGCGATCTTCCCGGCGAGATATCTCCACGAGGTAATCTTAATTGAGGCAATCAAATGTAATTATGACAAACAGTTTTCCTCCTACGAAAGAAGCTATTCATTCGAAATTATATATCTTGATATTGCTCGCGAACGTCCCGCACATTTGCCGTCTGACGAATCGCCGCGGCTGCGCGTTACGCCAGGATATTTATTTTAATTATCGATTGTAAATATTTAATTATCCGGCTTTTTTACGAATCGCGGCGGCAGAATGCCTCACCGCCGCTTTGTCCCTACGCCCGTGGAGGATGTGGCACTGCATCCTGTGACAAATTCTATGGCAAATGTAGTGTAGCATGGGAGATCGATATATAGACAGAAGTCCCACGGCAGCTTCCTCTTTCAGCGCGCGGCATTTTTAATCCGCCGTCGTTTCACCTCGACATTCTCGCAAACAGCGACAAAACGTACCTTCGCCCTCGGCGCTATTTTTCAGATATGTCACGGTATAATGCCGCGCAAGATTGCGCAAAGCAGCACATTTTGTTAATTACTTTTCAAGTTGCGTTGGCGCAAATAATGGCGATTCTGTTGCATTGAGAATTAATTATATAAATAACTGATATGATTACATTTAGCGGCACGCGTGATTGTAAATGTGCCAACAAATCTGCCGGATTGCATCGCGGACGTAACAATCGGTCCTTTCAACTTGTTGCGTTCAATTTCGTCGCGAAGTAGAAATTACGTGCTCGCGCATAATCCTTCAGATTACCGTCTACGTAATACTGGAGATTATCTGATAATTTTACGAAGTTGCCGCGTGCGATTGAAGGGACGCGCCGTGTCCTCGAAAATTATATGCGAAAAGTTTTTGTCGATCGCCGGCTGACGAAGCATCGCGGAGCAATTAATGTCTGCGGATAAACCGATACGGACGATCACTTCGTTTCGATCGATGTCGCAATTTGATTTTTATTTTTCACCGTCTCTTTCAGTCGAGTGATTCTGGAGGCTTCCTCGCGCGCAGAAGATCACCTCAGGTTATCGCGATGGCCACGCTATCCTTGCGCATCTCCATACCGGAGAAGAATGCCACGAAGATGATGCAGTTCGATCCCAGCACGTCGGTGTACGACGCCTGTCGCATTATCAGGGAAAAACTCGTCGAAGCCAGTAATATGGGTCAACGTAAGATATTTTATTTATCAAACGTAATCGATACACGCGCATTTATATTGTCGAAATACTCTGTTAACAATTTCGTCAACTACACTCTGCCAAAATACATATATTTAACATCCTTTGCTGAGAGAAATGCTATCAAAATTTTTTTTTTATTAAATATCACGGATAATATTATGACGGAACAATATTAAATGTCCCGGAAATATCTCATTTGTCATCTCGTGCAACAAAAGGATATCTGAAATTTTGTCCAGATCTAATTTACTTTGATGGAAATAATAGGAATTTAATTGATCAAAAAGGTTTATATTTTACAAATGTTAAATACATGATAGTTTTACATGTAAAATGCGTAATAAATTATATTATGTGTATTGCGTTAAATTACAAAAATGCAATATGTTTACCTTTCTGTTGCTCGTACAGCGAAGGATTACGGTCTGTTTCTCGCTGATGAGGACGTGAAGAAGGGTGTCTGGTTGGAGCCTGGGCGAAATCTCGACTATTACATTCTGAGAAACGGAGATCTACTTGAGTACCGTCGTAAATTCCGTACGCTTCGAGTCCGCATGCTGGATGGAACGCTGAAGACCATGCTGGTAGACGACAGTCAGCCCGTGGCGAATCTCATGGTAGTGATATGTACTAAAATCGGCATCACGAATCACGATGAGTATTCCTTGGTGCGCGAACTGATGGACGAGGAGAACGAGAATCCAAAATCCGGAAATTTCGGCACTCTTACGTTGAAGCGGAAGAAGGAGGAGAAGGGCGAGAGGGACGCAAAGATGGAACAATTGAGAAAGAAATTGAAAACCGACGACGAAGGTAATATTGAGTTCGCGCGATGTTTAAACTACTCAAAATTTAATCGCTGTTTAAATCATAATAATAAATCAATAATAGTATAAATGTAAACGGAAATGTTAAAAGTATTTTATATTTTTTTTGTGCAGTAAATTGGATAGATCCAAGCAAAACTCTGCGCGAACAAGGCATAGACGAAGCCGAGACCGTTTTGCTGAGGAGGAAATTTTTCTTCTCGGATCAAAACATCGACAGCCGCGATCCCGTACAATTGTCGCTGTTATACGTGCAAGCGCGAGATGCAATTCTAGACGGCACGCATCCAATCACGCAGGAAAAAGCTTGCGTTTTCGCCGGCATCCAGTGCCAAATCCAGTTTGGCGATCACAAGGAGGAGAAGCACAAACCTGGTTTCCTGGAGTGAGTTGCACGATCAGTAATTTTTTAAATCTTATCAATCAACACTTTCTATATCACATTCTTTTCGCAGTCTCAAGGAATTTCTGCCGCAATCGTACGTGAAAGTGAAAGGAATTGAAAAGAAGGTCTTCGCGGAGCATAAGAAGCACATCGGGCTCTCGGAGTTGGAGGCCAAAGTTTTGTACACGAAGACCGCCAGATCGCTGAACACATACGGCGTCACGTTCTTCTTGGTGAAAGAGAAGATGAAGGGCAAGAACAAGCTGGTGCCGCGTCTGCTCGGCGTGACGAAGGACTCGGTCCTACGGCTCGACGAAAAGACGAAGGAGATCCTGAAGACGTGGCCGTTGACGACCGTGCGGCGTTGGGGCGCCTCGCCGAACACCTTCACTCTCGACTTTGGCGACTACTCCGACCAATATTACAGCGTGCAGACGACCGAAGCGGAACAGATACTTCAGTTGATCGCCGGCTACATTGACATTATTCTGAAAAAACAGAAAGCAAAGGATCATTTCGGCATCGAGGGTGACGAGGGGTCCACTATGGTGGAGGACAGCGTGTCGCCTCTCAAGTAAGTCTCACACTGTCACGCGCTCAATGCGCTCCTTTGTGAACACTTCGCGCTAGGTGTGGGCTTAAGTAATAATCGCCATTAAGAAGGTATTAGAACAATTATCAGTTCTCGACGGGTCAGGCTTGTCGTGAAGTGACCGATTCAGTGCGCGATTCATGCGCCGAGAATATTTCGCGTCAATTCGATATCATCATCATGGAGGAGTTCTTAAGACGTCACGCAAACAAGCGCATTCGAGCTAATTCTAACGAGTATTACTCCGCGAGATTAATCGGTTTACTCGAACGGGTGATTTTGTTCAACGCCTTACGCATGTCTTATTTTCTCAACAGGGCTACTATTATGCAGCACGAAACCAGCAATGTCGGTAAAGGAAACGTAGAAGCAGTCTCCGTCGCAATACCAGCTGTCATGAGGGCCGGAGGAGACGGTAAGCGTCTCGAAATAGATCTTGTTTTATTTTTAGATAATTCGATCAAGATTAGTATCTTGTTGTATTGATTAACTCTCGGATTCTAAAAATCTATAATGATTATATAATGTAAAAATATTATATATAGAATATCTTTTCTAAAAATTTTTATTTACGCAAACTTCGATGTACATGGCAGCTTTTAAGAACGTGTTTTTTTACGAGCTAAATTATTCCACTATAGTTTTAAATATTACAGATTTTAATACTGCCTTTTGTTTTTTTAGTTAATTATATTTTTAGAGTAAGAAACGCGAATTAGCGATTTTTTGCACGATTGAATCCTCGGATCTTAGCTGATATATGTTCCTGTACATAAATACACTTTTCACTATGTAAATACACGTTTGTCTAGCTTTGAGCATTCGTACAAATGTCGCTTGCAATCAGATTAGATAATTAAGTATACCGAGCTCTCCTTTAGCTTTCAATGGAAAATCTAAACAGATCGAGGACTCGATCGGGGCGATCGATAATTGTAAATAGAGCTATAGAATGCTCAGAATGCGTGGTATGATTTGTAGGAGCTCGACCATACGGAACCGGCCACATAGGTGGTGCTCAATACACGACTGTCAGCGGGCAAGTGAACATCGCTCATACTCCACCTATGGTAAGCTTCGTTAAAAAGCGTCTAAACTGATCAAGCTCAAGCTCATCTTGGATGTCGGTGTTTTTTGGTTGCTTGTTATAAATACCTATGCGCCTCGAACTGTAAAAATGGCCGAGTCTTTCGGGAATTCTTTCATGTTGTTTAACGACAAGCGAGCCGTGTCGTATCACTGTGTGACTATTGATGAATGATGATTTGTATATTTATATACCTGGGATGGTGTTACATTTTCTTGTGAATGTCTAAAATCGCACTGATCATTGTGTTGCACTTTAGAGAGCGAAATTTTAAGAGACTAATAGACGGTTAAATTTATTTTCATGCTAGGCGCCTTCTATTGCGGACACAGAGTAGGTACATTTACAGTAAGACTTTCAGTTATCTGTTTACTCCTCAATTTATGGATAATCCGTTTTACTTTCGCCGTTTGATTCATTTGCGTTTTACGCCCGTCGATTGGCATCCCGGTACAGCGCTTACTGGCGGATAAACTCTCTGCGTGCAAATCAATCGCGCTCTCGTGCGACGAGAAACACTCGTTCGATCAGTAAACTCTGTATCGCCGCAACATAGCACTCGTTGCAGTTTATTGCTTCCTTATGTACGCGCATTCCGTTTATGTTGATTGATCGTCATAAGCAGAGTGTTGCATTTCTTTCGCGAGAACTATTTCCGATCCGATCAAGCGGCTTCGAGAAGGCCGGAGAAGATGCTTGTGCAATATACGATTGTATGAAACTAGGTCCAACAAACTAAAGTGACATCCGTCCTGTCTGAACCGCAACGTGCCTTACTGTCGACCATCACCGCTGGTCACGAGGTGATCCACATCGCCGAGACGGAACTCTCGACGAAGGCCCAGCTGCCCGAGCTCGGCACGGATCCGGCTTCCCTGAGATGGATCGAGCAGACCATCGACACCCACAAGCAGAACGTGGGCTCGCAGATCGCGGCGATGAACGCCGCGACCGCTCAGGTGGTCACGCTGACCTCCGGACCGGCGGACGATGTCGATCACACCGCGGTGGGAGCCGCGATTACCACGATCGCGACGAATCTGCCGGAGATGACGAAGGGCGTGCGGATGATCGCCGCTCTCATGGACGACGAGTCGTCCGGCGAACGACTCCTAGACGCCGCCAGAAAACTCTGCTCGGCGTTTTCGGATCTGCTGAAGGCCACCGAACCGGAAACGAAAGAGGTGAGTCTGTCGCGATTGATAAAAAAGAAAAGTGTCTAAAAGATTATAGCGAGTTAGAATTGTGATTAATCGACCGTTGAGCGTTATTTCAAGTCTCTTCTTTTCCTGCAGCCTTTCCACATAACATCTACGCTCTACGAACAATATGTAAGCACTAACACTTGAGCTTTGTAGCGCAGATGAGATTAGATCTGCAGACACGATAGTCTTCGATCTTTAGAAGATGCACTTGTAGAAACTGCAAAGATTTTACAAAGTTTACTTAATTCAATACCTTATAATTATTCACTTAATTAAACACTTTATAGTTATTCAATCTGCATTTCTATTATTTTATATATTTTCGAACATTGTGTGAATTATTTTTCGCTTATATTTTAGCCGCGACAGAATCTATTGAACGCTGCATCGCGAGTGGGCGAGGCATCGCACCAGGTATTGACGACTATTGGAGAAGAAGACGATTCAAATCGTGAACTGCAGGACATGCTACTCGCGCTGGCCAAAGCGGTAGCCAACACCACCGCCGCTCTGGTATTGAAGGCGAAGAACATCGCAGCCACGTGCGAGGACTCTGCGACTCAGAACAGAGTTATATCAGCTGCGACGCAATGCGCGCTCGCTACGTCACAACTGGTGGCCTGCGCAAAGGTAGTGGCGCCGACTTTACACTCGCCCGCCTGTCAGACTCAGCTGATGAACGCCGTTCGCGAGGTGACCAAGGCGGTGGAGCGCTTGGTTCAAGTCTGCAACGAGACGTGCAGCGACGAGAACTTGCTGAAGGAGCTGAGCGCCGCCGCCAACGAGGTCAGCCGCACCTTGAACGATCTCCTCGATCACATCAAGGCCGCGACGAGAAGAGAGCGCGCAAGGGAATCCATCCAGGAAGGCGCGGTGGAAACTATCTTAGTTGCGACGGACAAGCTCTTCGCCAGCACCGGCGACGCCGGCGAGATGGTGCGACAAGCAAGAATAGTCGGCCAAGCTACCGCGCAATTGATTCAAAGCATCAAAGGCGAAGCGGAAAGACAGACGGATTCGGAGCAGCAGCAGCGTCTCTTAGCGGCGGCGAAGCTGCTCGCCGACGCCACTGCCAAGATGGTGGAGGCGGCGCGACAGTGCGCCAGCAGTCCACACGACGCCAAGATGCAAGATCAACTGCGCCAAGCGGCGGAGGAGCTGCGAGCTGCGACCACCGCAGCGGCCACTCCGGCGTTGCGCAGGAAACTCATCACGCACTTGGAGGTTTGCGCCAAACAGGCAGCTTCAACCGCCACGCAGTGCATCGCGGCATCTTCCGGCGCCGGGCATCACAACACCAATCCGGCCAGCCAAGAAGAGCTCAACATGGAGTGTCGCACAATAGCGCAGCACATTCCACATTTGGTATCGGGAGTGAAGGGCACGCAGATGCAACCGGACAACCCTACGGCGCAATTGAATCTCATAAACGCCTCCGAGCAATTCCTGCAGCCAGGTACTTCCGTAGTGAAGGCGGTCAGGGCTGTTTTACCGACGGTTACCGATCAGGCGTCCGCAATGCAGCTAAACAACACGTCGCAGCAGTTGGGATCCTCATTGGCGGATCTGCGATCGGCAGTGACGCGCGCTAGAATAGCTTGCGGCGGTTTGGAGCTCGACGCTGCAGAAGAGCTGATCAACAGCTTGAAGGACGAGTTGGGAGAATTTTATCGCGCCGTTGAGGCCGCTTCGTTGAGACCACTACCGGAGGAGACGACGGAATCCACCGCTCTGCGACTCGGCGCCTCGTCCAAAAACGTAGGATTTGCCATGGCGCAGCTGTTGTCCGCTGCCAAGCAGGGCAATGAGAATTACACCGGAAGCGCCGCCAGAGAAACGGCGTCTGCCCTGAAAGATCTCACTTATGCTGTTCGCGGCGTGGCTGCTACATCTGATCAGCCGGAGACGCAGAAGAAGGTGCTGATGACAGCCGACGACGTGATTCTGCGATCGCTGTATCTGGTGAAGGAAGCGCGGCGCGTGCTGAAGAATCCCGACGATCCCGAGAACGAGATCAACTTAGCCGCGGTCGCCAAAGACGTCTCCATTTCTCTGAACAAGTGCGTCTCCTGCCTGCCCGGGCAGAGAGACGTGGACGAAGCCATACGCAACATCGACGACATGACTCAAGTGCTCGGCATAAACGAGTTCCCGCAAACAAACAAGAGTTATGGGTGAGCAGCTTTGCAAACAGTCTTGTTCCACTTTCTTTTATTACCTCGCATATTCTTATCGCTCATTGAATAATTCACATTACGATAGGTACGTGTTATTTGAATTCTGTTATATATCTCGCAACTTCTATTTCGCAGGCAATTGCAGAGCGACCTGAATAACGCGGCCGTTAATCTGAACGACGCGTCGTCGAGCGTGGTGTCATCCGTGCGTTCGCCGGTGCAGCTAGCGAGCTCGTCGAAGCAATTCACCAATGCCTTCGGTGATTTGTTGGGCGTGGGTATGGAAATGGCGAGTCAGACATCGATTGAGACACGCACTCAAGTAGTAATATCACTGAGAAACGTCAGCATGACATCCAGCAAGCTGCTCGTGACCGCGAAATCGGTCGCGGCCGATCCCACCGCGCCGAACGCGAAGAATCAGCTGTCGGCGGCGGCTCGCGCCGTCACGGACTCCATCAATTACCTCGTAGACGTGTGTACCTCGGCGGCGCCCGGGCAGAACGAGTGCGACAACGCTATCAGGAACATCCAGTCCATGCGATCACTGCTGGACAATCCGAGCCAGCCGTTCTCCGACGCCTCGTACTTCGAGTGCTTGGAAACCGTGATGGAGAAGAGCAAGAGCCTCGGCGACGGCATGACCGGCATCGCGAATCACGCGAAGAAATCGGAGCACGAGCATTTCTCCGTTGCCGTTCGCGGAGTTTCCTCATCGATCTGCGGCCTGATCGAAGCCGCGGCTCAGGCGGCTTATTTGGCAGGAGTGAGCGATCCGACATCGGTGGCGGGTAAACCAGGCTTGGTGGATCAGGCGCAGTTCTTACGGGCGGCGCAAGCCATCCAAAGCGGCTGCCAGAGCCTCGGCAATCCCACCAGCACGCAGCAACAAGTTCTCTCAGCTGCCACTATGATTGCCAAGCACACCAGCGCCCTGTGCAACGCGTGCAGAGTCGCCTCCAGCAAGACCAGCAATCCGGTGGCGAAACGTCACTTCGTTCAGTCCGCCAAGGACGTCGCAAACTCGACGGCGTGCCTCGTCAAAGAGATTAAGGCACTCGATCAAAATTATTCCGACATTAATCGCGAGAAGTGCGCGGAAGCGACGAAACCTCTGCTCGAGGCGGTCGACAATCTCTGCACGTTTGCGAGCTCCCCCGAATTTGCGAGTCAACCGGCGAAGATCTCGATCGCCGCTCGAGCCGCGCAAGAGCCGATCACCAGCGCCGGCAAGTCTATCATCGACGGCTCGTGCGCCATGGTGCAAGCAGCGAAGAGTCTCGCGATCAGTCCGAAGGATCCGCCAACCTGGCAACTACTGGCCAATCACAGCAAGAGTGTTAGCGATTCCATCAAATCGCTGGTAGCGTCGATTCGCGACAAGGCACCCGGTCAGAAAGAGTGCGACGCCGCGATCGAGAAGCTGTCGGCGCGGATACGCGAGCTGGACGCCATCTCGCTGAGCGCGGTTTCGCAGACGCTGGTGCCGCGTCGCGAGAACACCGTCCAGGGATTCACCGATCAGATGGAGAGCAGCGCGAGCGAGTTGCGCGAGAAGCTGGAGCCGTTGCGCATCGCCGCGAAATACGAGGCGGAGAACGTCGGCCACGCCGTCAATCAGATCGCCCTGTACTCGGAGCCTCTCGTCTCCGGCGCGATCGGCGCCGCGTCCAATATGGTGCAGTCGAAGCAGCAAATGGTGCTGCTTGATCAAACGAAGACCGTCGCCGAGTCCGCCCTGCAATTGATTTACGTCACGAAGGAATCCGGCGGCAATCCGAAGGCCGTCGCGTTGCACTCCGAAGTGGACGAAACCGTCGAGTCGACCAAGGACGCGCTTCAAGAACTGCAAAATACTCTGGAGACCATATCAACATCCGCGGGCATCGTCACTGGTTTGATCGACACGATTTCTCGCGCAATGGTTAGATTAGAGGATCACAGAATGTCCACTATCGACACTGTAGATTCTTACGTGGACTATCAAACGAGGATGGTTGAAGCCGCTAAAGAGATTGCTCGGCTGGCACAAGAGATGGTAGGCGGTTATATAATCTGATATATTTGTTTTATAAAAGATAGATGCAAAAATTTGCCATTTTTATATTGAATTCTTCTATTAAGTAAAAACAGAAAATTAAAAATCTTATGAAATAAATATTTACTTCAAAAATTTTGTATCAGATAGAATACTTCATAAACTTTGTCATTTTTGTATTAAATTTTTCTATTCATTAAAAATTCATTAAAAATTGTGTAAAAGATTTAATCATAAAATATGTAATTCACAATGTTTAAATACTTTTTTTTGTTTTAGTCAACGAAATCAAGCATAGATGTGGCCAGATTGGGTCCCCTCGCGGTCGACATATCACACAAATACACACAACTCGCCCGCGACACATCAGGAGCCTCTGCAGCCGCTTCCAACGCCGACGTATCCGCCAGGCTTCGTACCGGCGTTCAAGAACTTGGCCGAGCTTGCGCGGACATCGTGCGCGCCGCTGGCACCTGCCAGATGTCACCCGGTGACGCGTACGCTCAGCGAGAGGTTGCGGAGCACAGTAAGATTGTGACCGAGAAGGTGTCGCAGGTGTTAGCTGCTCTGCAGGCGGGCTCACGCGGTACTCAAGCGTGTATCAACGCCGCCAGCACCGTTTCCGGCATCATCGGCGACCTCGACACCACCATCATGTTCGCCACCGCCGGCACACTGCACGCCGAGAACGAGAGCGACACGTTCGCCGATCATCGCGAGCACATACTGCAAACCGCAAAGGCCTTGGTGGAAGACACGAAGACTCTGGTAGCCGGAGCGGCTTCCTCGCAGGAGCAGCTGGCCGTCGCGGCGCAGAACGCGGTGTCGACCATCGTTCAGCTCGCCGAGGTTGTCAAGTACGGAGCGGCCAGCCTCGGCAGTCAAAATCCGGAGGCCCAAGTGATGCTGATCAACGCCGTGAAGGACGTCGCCTCCGCACTCGGCGATCTCATACACGCCACCAAAGCCGCGAGCGGCAAGCCGATCAACGACCCGAGCATGGCGCATCTCAAGGATTCTGCTAAGGTAACGCTTGTTCGAACATTCCCCCGCTTTGTTTTTGATTGTCTAACTTGACGCCGTTGGTTCTCTAACAGTAAAAGTGGAGCTGATTACTCGCGCGCTTTCATTGTCGCTTCAGATTAACCCAGTTGGACACGCTTGGTTAAAAAAAGAAGTCTGTTTGCAGCGAAGTAATCGGCAGATTTTTGTTGCGGCATTTGCAGCGATTTTGTCTAGATGGATTGACTAACATTGCGGCGCATCAACTTTGCATCGAAGCATTCGTCGAAGATTAAGCGCGATGAATATTCTAACGAAGTTCTAACGGATCTTTCTGGCCGATTAATTTACCGAAAGAACCCACGTCCAGTCCTTCTCACAGATACTGATTTCAAACGGATTTGAATCTTGCAAAGCATCCGCGGAGATTAATGACGAGTTTCGTGTTCCTCTTTAATCGATTAACTCGCCGAGTTTGCGGCAGTGTGAAGCCTAACTGTTGTAGAGACTGCGTATCCTTCTCGGAGCATTTTTCTTTTGGGGTGGACTTTAATTGACACATTGTGACGAATCTGTCCGTTATTTGCCTCTAACCGACTTCATTTTCTCTACTAAAATCGACGTTCACGCAAAGAATGATAATCGTCGCCGACGTCGTGCACGATCGTGCGAAATCGCAGGGCGGGGAGTGCCCAGGCCGAAATTATGATTGGCGCTATTAAAGTCCACCTTGAATCGCCCCTATGTAGCTTTATATCTATCTGTGTGTGACGTATCTGAGCGGCGGATGTGTTTTATCCGGCGGAAGGCGTTCTTTCTTCTTTTTTTTTTCCTTTTTTTTTTTTTTTTTTGTAGAGTAATTATGTATTTGTTTGTTTAACGACTCCGCCTCTGTTGTACACGCTTCTTCTCACTTCCCTCGAATGTGTCGAGACTCGCGATAATAGCAGTAGTGTACTTAACTCGATAATACCTTGAATGCTGCGACATGATGCGAATGGGTGGACTTTAATACGAGTCTCATTGACGATTTTGGTCTGGCCGATTCCGGACAGGTCTTAGAGCGACAGCTGCAGCAGCAGTTCGTGCATCTGAGCGACGTCGGCGGCTCGGAATCGGAATGGTTCGTGTCCGATCAAGAGGAGGAGCTAATCCGCCTGCTCTCCACTTCCGAGAGCTCTCAGCCGGCTCAACGGACGTCCGACTTACTGTTGCTCATGTAGCCGGATTTTCCGTTCCCTCCTCATCATTGCATTTTCTATCGCAGTCTCTTGTATGAGATATGTGTATACGAAGTAGCTAATATTACGTGCTTAATATTTCTATGCTGTTACGAAATTGCGAGATATATCAATTCTTGCATTAACAATTAATGAAATTTACTTATCAAAATCATTTTTGCTTCTCATATTTATTGCATTTTCCATCGCAATCTTGTATGAGATACACGAAACGTGGATAGTCCAATATTTACATTACATGTTTGATATTCTTATGTGGAATATGATGTAGTTACGAGATATATTAATCTCTGTTTTAACAATTAATGAAGTTTATATAACAAAATCATTTTTATCGCAATCTTGTATACGATATATAAAATATCATTGTAATAAGTTTATCTGTCAAAACGATTTTTGTTTCTTATAATTATTGATGAAAAAATTGTGGTGGCTTAGAAGTGGATTTTGAAATATTTAGAGCCACATAACATAAATAAATAGGTTCGAGTTGCGTCAAAAATAATTGTGCAATATTATGTTAAGAATCTTTTTATATATTCTGAAAAATATATTATAAAATTATTTCGCCCAATGAGTTTATTATCTTCGTTAGAAATCCATTCGTTTTGAAACGTTGGTTTCTCACTAGATATTTAATTCGTAATCGAAACATATACTTTATCGAATCATCGCTAGGTACGTACGTTCTATTCAGCCGATGCGTTTGAACTATTAACAGACTTTCAGTTGATTATTGCGCTTTCGCATAATTCTGCTTATCGTTTCACATCGCTGAAAAATTCAGAATCATCAAAAGATTGGCTCATGTAACCACGACACGCGCTGCGAGCACAGATTAATCGGCTACTAATTGTGTGTTAACACAATAGCAGTATTGCGTTTTTATTTTAAGATTATTTAACCTTTAATATTCATTATTTAAAACACTAACTGTATTATTCCAACTCCACATCGACGTGTCAAGTGCGAAAACGATTTGCGGACTAATATTCCTAACATTCATATCACTTTGTTCTCCGCTTAGGTGATGGTGACCAACGTGACGTCGCTGCTGAAGACCGTGAAAGCCGTGGAAGACGAGCACACGCGCGGCACGCGGGCGCTGGAGTCCACGATCGAGGCGATAGCGCAGGAGATTCGCGCGCTCAACACGCCGGAGACTCAGAAGAGCAACGTGACGCCGGAGGACCTCGTGCGCTGCACGAAGAGCATCACGATATCGACGGCGAAGGCGGTCGCCGCCGGGAACAGCTGCAAGCAGGACGACATAATCGCCGCGGCGAACATGGGCCGGAAGGCGATCAGCGACATGCTGACCATCTGCAAGGGCGCGGCCTACAACTGCGCCGAGACCGCCGAGCTGCGCGATCGCACTCTACAGGCGGGCCACGACGTCGCCATCAACTATCGCGAGTTGCTGCAGGCCATCCTGCAGATCTCGTCCAGGTCGGGCGACGCCAAGCATACGCTTGCCGGCGATCTCGCGCAAGATCGCGCAGAGTGTGACGGAATTGGTGGCGGTGGCGGAGCTGTTGAAGGGTAACGATTGGGTCGATCCCGACGATCCGACGGTGATCGCGGAGAACGAACTGCTCGGAGCGGCCGCCAGTATCGACGCAGCCGCCAAGAAGCTGGCCAGCCTGAGACCGAGGAGAAGCATTCAGGTGAATTTTTATCGATAATGCCCCGTGTTTGTTTACGACGATGCGATACAGTATGTGGATGGTCGTTGTTTCTAATCTCCGTGAGATATGTTTGATTTTCTTGGTCGTTATAAATGATCGACCGAGAATCGAACATATTATTACGGCGATCGGGGAAATCAGCGTTTGCAGCGGGTAAGCATCTGGACATTAGTTCACGGTTATAATAAATTGTAGAATAGTTTCTAAGAGAGTTGCGGTGAATATACTATATTTTCTTTCTTAATTGAATATTTAATACAAGAGCTTTGAAAAACATGTTTGAAATCGTACTATTGTGTACTTTCTCGTTCAACAGGAGACCAACGAAGATATGAATTTTGACGAGATGATCTTGGAGGCCGCGAAATCAATCGCCGCCGCCACCTCGGCGCTGATAAAAGCCGCCAGTGCCGCTCAACGGGAGCTCATCGCCACCGGCAAAGTGTCGCGCACGCCGTTGACCAGCTCCGACGACGGTCAATGGTCCGAAGGTTTGATTTCAGCCGCTCGATTGGTGGCAGCCGCCACGCATAGCCTCGTGGAATCCGCGAACGCTCTCGTTCAAGGAGTAAGCTCCGAGGAAAAGTTGATTTCCAGCGCTAAGCAGGTTGCCAGCAGCACGGCGCAACTGTTGGTTGCTTGCAAGGTCAAAGCCGACCCTGACAGCGAGAGCACTAAACGTCTGCAAGCGGCCGGAAACGCTGTGAAACGTGCCACCGATAATCTCGTACGTGCTGCGCAACAGGCTATCCAGCAGGAGGAGGACCGCTCCTTGGTCCTGAACCGCCGCATGGTCGGCGGTATCGCGCAGGAAATCGACGCACGCTCGGAGGTGTTGCGAATTGAGCGCGAGTTGGAGGAGGCGCGTGGCAGGCTGACCGCCATTCGTCTGGCTAAGTACAAGAACCGTCCAGATCTGTCGGACGGCGACGGCGATGTGTCGGCGGAGCAGAGCGGCTATCAGAGCTACACCACGCGATACGAGACGAGGGCGTACGAGCCGCCGAACGCGCCCTCGCCCATTCAGACGATGAATCACACCCTGGACCAGCTGCAATCCACCACGCAGCACATCAGTCACCAATTCGCCGGCAGCGATCGGCAGAACCTGGTCAGTCCGGAGAAGGTGCACTCCACGCAGAGCACGCTTGAGAGAAGGATGAAGGACAGCCAGTATCGATCGACCTTGGAGAACCAGTACGGCTCCCTGGATCGAAAATACATCATCGACAGTCATCAGGACAGAAATCCATACGTCATCACCGAGAGAAAGATCATAACAGACAATTCGCCCGCTCAGTACAGCTCGATTGAGCGGCGAATCAATCAGGAGAGTTACGCCACCGACAGGAAGCACACGGACGGATATGCTTCGTATCCGCCGCCGCAGCATATCTCATACGCGACAACAAAGTCGCCGACTCCCAAAGCCACGCTGGAGCACACTTTCGAGGATCGGAAGTCGCCGCAGGATCAACAGAAGTATCCGAACGATCGGTTCTCAGGCGTCAGCCCGATGAGCACGTTCCGCTCCGAGAAGCAAGTGGACACCCAGCGGTTCAGCAGCGGCGTGCCGCAACATCAGACGTTCAAGAACGTCGAGAGCAAGGTCATTCCTGGCGGTAGAATCGAGACCATCACGACGAAGATGTACACATCGACGCCTGGTAAAAGTAGCAGCAGCTCCAATTACGAAGCCACCGAGGAGACCAAGGAGTACGCAACGTCGGGCAACGAACTGTCGACGTTCAAGGGTCTCGACAACGTCGACAGCGTCGAGGAACGTATGAAGTCGACGACGCACAAAGTTACGGAGAAGAAAACCGTCACTATGACCATGTCGAGCCGGCAGGAGTCCAACACGAAGACTTTCCGCTACGATGATAAGCAGTAAAGATGAAAATAACGAACCGATGAAGCCGATAATTTCTCGTCCAGAATTCATTTTTAGGGAAAAATAATTCGTAATATCATATACTTCGCGTGGCCTAAGAAATTGCATTATGGAAAGATACGATTTAAGATTATGTCAATACAACAGACAAAGAACACAATTTTTAAGTAAAATCATGTTTCGAGTTTCGAATAGAGATTGAAATGAAAGCATTCGCGATGATGCTCGACGAAGAACAGCGTACAAACAAATGGAAGTTGCTAGCTTTGTCAAAAATGGTTTGCCATGTGTCATAGGTTTACGTTTGATTAATTGTAAACGCATTTTGACAAGGCGAAGAGAACGCGGCGAGTAATTTATTAGTGAAAGAATAGAAAGTGCCCTTAGATAGATGTAACACTCGTGCTTTCGATCAGTAGCCTTACGAGCGTATTTATTCGTGGATGTTGCGCAGCCACGAGCCATGGCCATTTTTCCTAACTTAACCGATGGATCTTACGGGACTAGTTGATTGCACGTAATATTAATATCAGGAGAGCACAAACTGTCCGCTTTTGTGTTCGCGCAGTGAGTTTTTTTTCCTTTTTATCGCTTACCGCATTGTCTTGAGGATAATAGAGATATGTAATTGCGCTTGATTTAATGTAGATCTAATTTTACGTTTACTCGTTTACGGTCTAAGAACCACGAATTAACAAGAGAAGCAACATATCATTTAATTTTATTAATTTTTCCAACGTCGCGCGGCGCCGAGACCGGCCCGGCGACGCGAATGCTATTAACACTTTCCGCTGTCTTCATTAACCCTTTTCTTGCATTGAGTCTTTTATTTATTCTGATTTTCCGCTATCGTGAAGTAATATTTCTCTCAATCTGACTTCCACATTTTTTTTTCTAGCGCGCGATTTGTACAGGCGGTGGCTCGTTCTCATCGAGTTTGTTAATGTAAGCTTATGCTCGACTGTGGCCTAATTAGGCTTCCGCGGGTGATCTGTTAGTGCAATGATTAGTCTTTTGCGAATAGATAGGCTACTGTATAAATATCTTTTAGTGCATATATATATATATATACAAAATTCAGGAAATTACTGCGTCTCTGAAAAGCGCAATCCTTAACAAGAAAAGTGCCTAAAGTCTAATGAGCTGCCGCTTCCTTTTTTAATGTGCTCGTAGTGATTCTAAGGAATTTCTAATATTACCAAAAATCGAATGCTTTACTAATACATTTAACGACGCGCATGAGATGACGCCTTATTGACGCGAGCGTTGACACGCGGCCAAACATACGGCTGAATCAGATTCTTCCTAAGCGATGCGCGTGCTGCATTTCTCATCGTGTATTTTTAAATAATTAATTAATTATTGTTAATTAATTAATGTTTTTTAAATAATTGTTTATCGCGACGTTTGTTTCTAGATTCGCAGAAACCGATCTCTCAATAATGATGAGAAAAGTCATATAATGACAATCGATTTCATTTATTTTGGTTGACTTTATATGAATCAACTTATTTTAACCTTATGTCATGCTTGCATATAATCATATACATGACTACAAACATAGTCATGTTGTGCATTATAAATTGATAGAATGAAAACCGGTATATGAATAATTTCCTTGATTTATATAAATGTTGGCTAAACATGAAAAAATCGTTACGTAAACAGTGTGCATCGCGATCGGTTTGTGCGGATCTTTCTATGTCTAAAGGAGTGTGCCATGATACATAACAATGTATTGAGAGATGACGAATTATACATAAAAAGATATTTACATAGATTATATATTATATATTACACACAATATTTGTGTGTATCTACAAGATAACGTAGCGGTCTTTATGATTTGTAATAACGTTTTGCATTGTTTTAACGATTTTTATTATATAGAGCATATTTTTTTAATAGTTCTATAATGGTCACTTATATACACAGAAATATTTTACACGTCTTTTTCACGGAATGTTACAAAGCTATCGACATTACTCTTTTTACTTATTATTATTAATCTTGATCAAGTGTATGCACGCATTTTACTGCGACAGATATTATCGTTACTATTATAGTTTATATCATTAATCTTTCTATCGCCATCATTATTGAATCCAAATGTTTATATTCGTATACAGACGTAATCAATAAAGAATTTCTAACACTTATTGGTTTTCATTTTCCAAGCTTCACCATAAAAATATATCACATACGTTTTTATTGCTTACGCAAGAATAATATAACAGTAAATTTATCAGATTCTTATTTTCTTTTATACATTTTTTTCCAAGTGATATAAGAATTACCTACACATTATTATCCTTATCATTATTTATCTTATCAAATATTCATTATTTTAAAATACGATAGTTTTTTAAAATTATGATACAAAATTTATATTGTATAAAATTATAAAACTAAATGGTCATAAACAATCCATTTAGACGTAATTTTGAACTTTCCATAAATTGTTTACATATACAGAGTGTTTCATAATGTCCGTGCCAACGCTCGTGTGCGGGTAGAGTGCGGTAAACTGAATAAAATAGTCTTTTACTGTTTTGCAATTTTTGCAATAATTATTGAGAAGGATTGAAATTAAAAAGGATTGACGAATAATCGCGCGTTGCGCGCAGCTAGAACGTAGGCTGTACGCTTTAGGTGTGGCAGCAACGAGGATCGCACGGCAACCAAAAAAACAACACGTGTTATACCTGTTCTCGCCACGCGTTGTCATTTTTCGCTACCGTGTGATCCTCGTTGCTATCACGCCTGAAGCGTACAGCCTACGGTCTAACTGCGCGCAACGCGCGATTATTCGTCAATCCTTTTTAATTACTATCTCAATTATTATTGTGAAAATTGCAAAACAGTAAAGGACTATTTTGTTCAGTTTACCGCACTCTACCCGCACACGAGCGTTGGCACGGACATTATGAAACAGTTAGAATCTAGTAGTAGTTCACTTATTACACATTTATACCTCTTCTTTGTGAATGCATTATTCCAAAGAGCTTTGAAAGTCATAAAACGTTTATTTGATTAATTTTTTTAAGTTTTTTATTGAAATTCTCATTACTTCGACATGCTTATTCGCATTAATTTAAGAATAAAAAATTGTTAAAAAAGAGTAAAAAATTGAATAGGTAAAGCATTAACAATTTTTAAACTTGCAATTTTATATTTTCGGAAACTATGAATTATGACTTGTAATTTATATTAAAAATATATAATTTTGACTTGTAATTACATATTATTCAAAGTCTGTTTTTCCTGCCATAATATGTATCTTATATTTCTTATGCACACAGAAAAATACATACTGTATTTAAGTAAATATTACTTGTTTTAAGTATTTTATAAGTTCATATATCCGCAAATCTATCGTAAGTTTATCATAAGCATCAAATTTATTCAAAATATATTTTGATCCCAGTAAGTTTAATACTTTAATCAAGAATATTAAATTTAAAAAAGAATTCTATTTGCTTATTAAATTAGCCAAATCTGACTTTTCTTCGATACAATTTTATAATATTCTTCACCAAAAAATAATTACTTCTTTTGAGTATATGATAATAAGATTATCAAAAATTTGTGATGAGTATATTTTAAGACTATTATCAAGAAAATATTCTTTATTAAAGATAATTGTTACTTAAAAAAAGAAAAGTAAGCCGAGTAATTACTTTTCTTAGCAATAAAATGATATTTTTCTGTGTGTAATAATAGTAAGTCTAAAATAGTAAGTAGTAAATAGTAAAATAATCATCTTCAAAGTATTCAAAGTCTGTTTCTCTTGCCATAATAGGTATCTTATATTTCTTACAATAATAGTAAGTCTAAATATAAAATAGTAAGTAGTAATCAGTAAAATAATCGTCTTCAAAGTATTCGAAGTCTGTTTCTCCTGCCAGAATATGTATCTTATATTTCTTACAATAATAGTAAGTCTAAAAATAAAATAGTAAGTAGTAATTAGTAAAATAATCGTCTTCAAAGTATTTCAAATGATCGTGACGCGTATTTGATCCTGACGTACATTTCTTGACGCGTGCATTTGATCCTGACGTACATTTCTTGACGCGTACACTTGATCGTGACGTAGTCTGTTGAGGAAAATGCGACTAGAAATCTTGTTCCGAGTAAGAAACAACTTCCAGTTACAGGTTTCGTTAAGTAGGTATACTTTCCCCACCAGCCAGCATCAGAAAGGAATGCGTTGACGCCAGCCAATGCACCGTAATGTTGCCTGAAGATGAACCTGAAGAGGCTTGATAAACTCTAAAAGTGGAAATTTCCAAGCATCTCCAAACCTTCTCTTCAACTTTAAAAGCAAACGTCACTAAAGTAGACAAATAAAATTGTTATAAAATTATGGAAGATGCAGAATCAATTATCGTAATATAAAATGCAAAAGATTTAAATTTGTTAATCATTATAGAAGATTAAAGTAAGCTAGCATGTCTAACAATTATGATGTAATTTAATAAAATAATATATATATATAATAAAATTAATAATTTAATCTATAAATTTCAATCTTTGTATCACAGGTTTTAGAAAACGGGGTGGAAAATATTTAAAAAGTGGATGTACATATAATAATAATTTTTTACGGATTTATTATGTGTGCGCAACAAACTTACTTTGCAAAATTTTAATTTTTACATTTGTAACATCAATTTGCATTTAGTTTATTAAGTGACAACAATTTTACGGTGAAGATAAAAATATCTTTATATTTTATATTTTATATCTTATATCGTTATATTTTTATCGTAAAATTGTTATCACTTAATGAACTAAATGCATAATTATTTGTCCTTATATGGAATTTTTCTTATATTGCTTAATTATTTGTTTGAAAAACACATATCTCATTTTTATTGTCCGGTTACTTCTCATTATCTTCTCCGAGCTCTTTATTAATGAGCCTACTATCTTTTCTTTGTTGAAATAAAAAAAAGGAAAGAAATGAAAAAAAGCGCGCATGGCCTAATATACTGAAATTTGTCTTATCATTAAAACAAATTGTTATGTTTTTCTTTATACAATTGCAGGATTAGTTAAATTTTTAATGATTTCTTAAAAAACAGGTACATATTTCACTCTTATTTTATTTTTACTTCTCATTAGCTCCTCCGATCTCTTTTTAATGAGCCTACTGCTTTTTTTCAATATAAAAAAAAATTATTTACTGACGAAAGAAAATGGCTACGGTTGAACGGAGGCAACCGGTTACGCTAGCTGCCTGCGTAATATTTTTCACACACGCCCTGCTTGCGTAGCGGGTGGTGGAAAGACTGGCGGACTGGAGACGCGCTATAAAACGCCGCGAAATCCGCAGAAATGCAACAGTTTGTATTTAACTGAAGCAAGAGCTACAAGCAACAGCGTGTTCTAATTCATGCAGTCTAAGGTCTACGACTGATTGCCTGAGACTTTCTCATCAAAAGTAAGGAATAAGAGAATTTTTTATTCTATGTACATTCGTTTATAATTGTGAGAGAGATTCAAAATATTAAATTAAATTTAATTATAAGATTATAGATACAAATTTTTACTTAAAATAATAACATAAGTTGTGATTTAAATACATTTTTATATAAAAGTTCACTTGTTCCAATCACCGAAAAATAAAACATTTTCTTATTAATTATACGAATAGAAATCTTGTTTCGAATAAGAAATAAACAACTTCCAGCTACAGGTTTCGTTAAGTAGGTACTTTCTCAATTAGCCTGCATTGGAAAGGAATGTGTTGATAAAATATTTATACGGCATAATAAAATTAATGATACATTTTTAAACTTTTATTTATTCGCCATTTTATTAATATAATTGTTTTTTTCTTTTTTGCAGTAAACGAATGCAGCAGTAATACCGGCAGCAAGAAAACTTAAATATCCATTCTACAACAGAAGAGTCAAGGAAATTGCAACAGCTGCTCTCTACACGAACGGCACCGAGCATTTATAAAAAGAGCTCCAAAACAATTCTAATAAAAAGCAACATGGAAAATAATTGCAAGAAAGAAAGTGACAACACAGGCAAATGTTTTACAAACACCTCTGAGTATTCAGACGAATTTGACTGTGTCACCAACCAGTACAGAGAGTTCATAAAATTATGCAAGAAAGAGCTCGACAACGACAAATTGCCGAAAAACTTCGATAACTGGGCAATCACCGAGCAATACGATCACCTGATAAGCAACGCGAGCAAATACTTCACAAACATACCTGAATCCCTCAGGTTTATTCTGCCGGCGGTCTTTGAGGACGGAGATTGCGGCCGACCGGCCGACGAGAGGCCGGAATGGTTGGACATGGATAAGTTTCGCCGAGGACAGGAATTCGCCCTGCGTTACTTCAGCATGCTCTCCATAAGCATGTTGATGGGCCTGCTCGAGGTATTCGTCTTCACCGACGGGCTGAAGGTGCTGATCCTGAGCCAAAAGTCCAACACGCCGTATCGTGCCTTCCAGCGATACTTGTCGACGATCAGTCGCTTCAGGAATTGGTACACGAGCGATCCTTGGTGTCCAGGAACCCAGGCTTACCGCGACATCCAGGCGGTGCGGAGGATGCACCGCTCCATGAGACGCAAGCTGTGCAGCATGGACGACAAGACGTTCCAGGAGACCAGCAAGGTGCCGAACTCCCACTGTCCCGTAATGGGCGCGATCGCGACGGAGTTCGCGAACACATGCCCGAGGACGAAGAACATGCAGTGTCCGTACACAATGATGCAAATGAGGGCGATCAATCAGGGTGACATGTCCGGCACGCAGTTCGCTTGCATGGGTCTGACGGTGCTCTACCCGGAGAAGTTCGGGGTGCACGTCAGCGAGGAAGACCTGGAGGCGTTCTGTCACCTCTGGCGCGGCTTGGGCTACCTTCTGGGCATCGAGGACCATTACAACTTTTGTCGCGGCACTCTGCCGGAGGTGCGCAAACGCGCCGAGGACTTCGTCGAGCACTGGATGAAGCCGAACTTCCGCACGCTCACGTTGGAATGGCAACACATGACCAAGTGTCTTTTTCAGGGCATAGGCAGCATCATTTACTTTAATAATTACAAGCTGATTTTGATGCGCCTCTGCGATATATACAAACTTGATATGTCTGGTCTCTACAAAACCTTCAGTCCATTGGAGAAAATAATGTATGCGCTAATGAAGTTTCTGCTTGCCTACTTGATATTATTACCGGGTGTCCTCTTCGTCATGAACTCGATCGTTCACGTATCTCTAGATCAGGCGAGCAAATCTGAAGCCAGAAAGCAAGGCGAGAGATTGCTGAAGAGGCAACCATCCAAAATGGTTTCGAAATTTTCTCTCATACTTTAGGTTGCTCAACTTTAGATCTAAGGTCTTTTGTGATATATCAAGTTTCTTCAATGTTTTTTAGTTATTATGATAAATATAAATCGTTCAACAAGCTTCATTATCTTTTTATCGATCCTGTAATTTAAGTACATTTATGTAAATATTACATATTGCCTGACGTGATTAGTTTATAAAGTTCCTAATAATTAAGCAAAGCCATATATACAGTAATATTTAACTTTGAAATATTACATATTATAAATTTCTGACTAATAAAAATATTTTTGCATATACATATTTTATTCCTTAAGTATCCTTTTTGACATACTCGTAATTTACAACCATCATCAAATTAAACAATTAATAAAAATAACACCTTTCTCAACTCTTTCGCTACGGGCGACTGCAGTCGCTCGATATATATCACTCACATTTCGAAATAGGAGTTATTAATTTGATGATGTATCAATGATTTTAAATACATAAGCTTAAATATATTAAATAAACTGAAATATATATTTTAAATATATGCTTATGGCACGAAGTCTCGTTCAACGGTGACTAGTTCCGCCATAGCAAAAGGATTAAACTAAACAAACGTCAAATTTTCGTAATGCAATTAGCATCACTCTTTTTTCACTACTTTAATTAGTATTATTATCTTTTCAATATTAATTAACTTTACATTTTATCTGAAATAAATTATACTTCGATATGTTAATGAAATTAATGACACTTTGATATGATGATAAAAGAATATAGATAATAGAATGGAATATTACCATCATAAAGAAATAATAATAATAACAACTGAAATGATAATGATAATAATTTCACTACATTGAAAAATTATAATACAAAAAAATATAACGTCAAATAAATGAAAAACGACTCGTTAGAAGGCTGCTTGACTAAATCGGAGCTAAACTCGAAATTTTCTCTTCAATATCTTTATCCGTATTCGATTTGTTCAAACTAAATCTTGCTTGACTAAATCGGATCTAAACTCGAAATTTTCTTGTCAGTATCTTTATCCGTATTCGATTTGTTCAAACTCAATACATTGTACCTATAATTTGGTAATTATTTATCAATAATTTGTAACATGATGTCAGCACTATTATTACCTTTGAAAGTCACTTCTGGAAATTCCGAGTGCTTATCGGGACACTTGCGTAGAATGTGTAAAAAGATTAACAGAATATGTGTTCTCAACATCCTTTGAGACAACATCCTTGAGATAACGTTTGAGATAAATATTCTGAGTATTCAATTTGAACATTTTAGATACCGCTATTATTGCATCGATAAATATAATCGGAATAACCCATATCACCTTGTATTGGAATTCTCATGTCTGTACTGCGATGCAGTTATTATTTACCATGTAGAAAGGAAATGATAGAACTGTTATGAACGACGGGTTAGTCTGCGATTTTCAGCAACCGCCGTATTCGTGCCGCAAGCTGCGACTGTGCTGTTAATTCCTACGCTAATCTCTATGCACAATAGAGAAAATATTAGGAATAAGAATAAATATTAAATATAGGAAGAGCAATTTGGAACTATTTTACTTCAAACAAGGAAACGGAATGGATTAATTATTTCTAATTCTTATTTCCTATTTCCCTAATTTATAATACGTTAATCCATTTCATTTTCTGGTTTTGAAACGAAATAATATCAATTTTCTACTTCTAATATTTAATATTTATTTTTATTCGTAATATTTTCTCTAATGTGCGTAGCCTTGCCTTACTAAAAGTGAGCAACCTGCGATCGTGTCGCATGCGGCATAATTAAAAGTGTAAAGCCGGTTTTAGCACTGTTTAAGCACTGTTTGGTGTATATCATAATATTTATTAATCCTAACCATAATGTAAACACCTAATCATAATGTAAAGAGATCGCGAACGTTACGGCAAACATTTAATTTTTCAACAGTGTTATATTTTATGTTGTATTGTACAGTAACGTCTCGTGAAATTTAACAGACGATTGTTTTAATCGTAATCGGGAATCAAGATAATGGAAGAATCGACGAAAAAAGACATGCCGTGAAAATATAAGAATAGATTCGACATTCCTTTGTAGGATTCATATACCACTTTATCAGTTGTTTTCCAATATTTAAGTTGCAAGAAACTGAAACCGGCTGCGATGGTTTCCATAATCTATATGAGCAAATTTATCTCTAGTTTATACAAATTTATACTGATTTTAATCTTAAAGAATTTATTTATATGTGTACGTGTATTTGTGTGTGGCACATTTATAGGGTTGGGCCACACCTTGTAAACAGCAGAAGAAAAGAATCTAGAAAAATACAAAAGAAGTCTTAATGGAATGTTGCAAATCACAGAATGTAGGTGGAAGAGGTTGTGGAATCATGGACAGGTTGTAGAATCATGGAATAAAGTTTTAAACATCAAAGAGTCAAATATTAAATCATCTGTAGGATTTGTTTGTTTAATAATTATATATCTAATATGTGGTTTCTTTTTTCTTTTTTTCAGAAAATATATATATCTCAAATTGTTATTCAGAAACTTTTGCAGGAGACATTGCCAACAACAAATTTCAAGAATAAAATAACTACTATGCATATGTTGAAAGAAGGCACTGTGACCATTGCGTTAACATTTTTATTCATGCATTACGCTTGCTGAGTTTTTTAGTTTCTCTATTTAGTTTTTTTAGTTAATTTTTTTATTACCGCTTTATCTGTAAACAGCAATAAACATCTTTAAGCATCTGTAAACAGCAATAAAAATCTTTACGCTAATTTAAAACTTCGCAGTTTTATGCGTTACCGAGTCACTTAGGTGTGTTGTGTTAATTCACATGATAGTTTTCGTTCAAGTATTTCATTGTTGCGTGAAATTTTTTATACGTTTTGCATGGTTTATGAACGAGAGAAGTCGATTAATTAACATAAGAAAAACTGAATTGAATTGAATAGAATTATTTTATAAAAATTTTATTACATTTTGCGAACCCAGTAATGCACTTTGCAAAATTGCAAATGTAAAACTTAGTAGTATTATTCGGTTCTTGTTATTATTCTGAGTATAAAAATATCAAAAAAATTATTAAAATCATTAAACATATGATTCAAATACTGTGAATGTTCTTTTCACAAATAATAGACGTAGTACGGATACGAACCAAAAAAACGGTATGATACCGACAGTCTTGAAAAATCGATGCGGCTACGTAGTTTTACGGATGTGATGGCACTACGTATCAATGTGTTTGCAGAAATGGTGGAACCCTTGCAGAAGTCATTACATCGCCGGTGTATTTGTTTTTGCCCTTTCCTCTGTTTTTACGTTTTATAATTTGTATCATATTCCTTTCGAAAAGACAGTTTTATTTAATCTACATTGATCTATATCATTCAAGACTGTACACATAAGCTAACAATTTAACATATGATTAGATGTGTGTATTGTAAGAAGACTGTGAAACAAGTATACTGTGAATCGTAGAGGTATAAATCATGGCTGCAGCAGAAATTGAGGATGACATTTACATGGGATATGACGATTATCCATCTGTGTATAAGGATCTCGAGCAGGATGAATTGTTCCAGGAAGTTATTAAAACAAGTTATGGAAAAAGATCAATAGTAAGCTTGATACTATTACATTTTTTATATCACTAATATCATTTTTAATTTCACACCAGGCTTAAAATATCAGATTCTAAGGTATAAAAATTATTGAAATGTATATTTTATACTTTTTTAAAGAGAGGATTTGTTCACAGTTTACTCCAAGGACACCAGGTACTGCAATGCGTCTTGGAACATCGAGCAGAGTAAGTAAACAGTTTGTATAATTCAACATTGCGAATGATGTCTTATTATTACGGAATTTAAAGTGTTTGTCTACTTTGACATCAACTTCAAAAATGTTTAGATAGTAATTCAGAAAAAAATACGAGATATTATCCAATCTACTTTAGTTATATATTAATTTTATAGATATTATAATTTTTGATATGACGGATATAACATAGGTTTATGCTATTGCTTTTTTAGTTTCAAAGAAGCGGTACCACTACTTCAATGCAACCTATGACAGCTGGAGTTAGACCTATGACAGCAGTGAGAAGTGCTGGATATACCAGCAATAAACAAACTTTTGATCCTCTTAACTTGGGAAGTAGCACTAAGACTTCCGCATCTCTATTGGAAGCTAACAAAGAAGACACGTAAGATTTCAAATCTACATATGCTTACCTATGTATATTATTTTTAATGTATGTACAGTGTCCAGATCATATATTTTTATTGATTTTTTTTTACTTTAGACCAGAAGAAAAAATAAAAGCAAGAGAAAAGAAAATAATGGCCTTAATAGAAAGTTCTGCGGAGGCAGCTTCAGAAAACAATGTGAGAATCGCATTAGAACGCGCACGAGAAGCTTCTTCAAGGGAGAAGGCTCTTATACGATTGCAAGAACAAGCCGGTCTCAGTGATAATCACAATATAGACTTGACGTTTGCTGTAAGCTCATTGAATCTACAATATCTACAATCTCTTACATTTGATACTTGACTTACAATTTCCAATTTATCTTCCAATAGGTGCTATTCAATTTGGCAGTTCAATATACAAATAACGAAATGTATACAGAGGCCATAGCGACTTATCAGGCTATAACAAGGAACAGAATGTTTAGCAATAGTGCCAGGCTCAAAGTTAATATGGGTAATATTTACGTGAAAATGGGTCAACTTTCTCAAGCTATTAAAATGTATAGAATGGCATTTGATCAAGCTCCGACAGTCCATAAGGATTTAAGGTAAATATATATATTGTATATATATATATTAATATGTTATACAAGCGAAAAATATCAAGGAACGATTGCATTGTGCCATGAATAATAGGAATATTAATCTGGCAAATATTTCGCAGAATAAAGATTATGCATAACATGGGAATGTTATTTGTACAAATGGGTCGGTTAGAAGAGGCAGCTAATAGCTTTGAATGGGTGATGAGAGAGAGATCTGAGTTTAAAGCGGGTTTGCATGCCGTTTTGTGTCATTTTGCGTTATCTCATCGCGATAAGATGAAAAGAGCTTTCTTAGAATTACTAGAAGTACAACTTAATATAGAGCAGGAGGACAAGTATAGTATAAATCCAGTGAGTTTGTACTCTTCTTGCTAAAGCTATGTATTTTTCAAAACGTTGCTTTTCAAAACTACACCTGCACTGCTGTGCACCATTAGTTGATTCACAATCTAAGAGATGCACATATTTCACACAATGACACATTATCTCTTTTCATCAAATATTCCGTTTTTAAATATGCCTTTTTACTTTTTTACGCCACTTTTATCTCTCTCAGATGTTATTTTTATATACATATGAATAAAAATTGATGATTTGGTACAAATATTCATATCTTGTTTTTTTATTCACGTTATAAATTGCAAATCAAACATTAGGTCGTATCAGTATATTTAATATTTCTTTGTTTGTATAGGATGATGATGCATCGAATATATTAAATGAACTTATAAAGAATGACGATTTGTCCAAGTTGGAAAAAGAAATAAAGCTGGAAGCTGAGAAAACTATACTTTGCGCAGCAAAGCTTATAGCACCTGTTATAGAAGACTCACTTACATCTGGGTTTGCCTGGTAAAATTTACTGAATTATAACATTCAAAGAATAATAAGAAATTTTAATATCCGGTTTCCGCATATAAATTTCGCGCAATTATTTTAGGTGTGTTGATACTATTAAGTCCTCGACTTACAGTATCTTAGCTGCCGATTTGGAAATAAATAAAGCAATGGTATTTCTGCATAATCGGGAAACACAACTGGCCATAGACACATTAAAGATGTTTGAAAATCGCGACAGTAAAGCTAACAGTGCAGCAGCAACCATGCTTTCGTTTATTTACTATCTTGTAAGTAAGACTTGTCTAACTTAGTAGATATTGGTTTGATTTCTGTGTTTAAGTAGAAAATTGTTTATAGCAAGGAGATTATGATCAAGCAGAAAAATATGCTGAAGCAGCTCGTACTTCCGATGCTTACAATGCGGCAGCCTACGTTAATTTATCCGCTTGCGCAATGAAAAAGGATGAATGGAACATTGCTAGGGAACTGCTGCTATATGCATTAGAAACGGATGCCAGTCATGTGCAAGCTTTATACAATTTAGGTATTATTTTGCATAAAATTTTTCTTTGTGTTCATTAATTTTTTTATACAATTGTAAACATTATTTTACAATGTTAATGTGTGTTTTTTGTAGGCTTAGTTTATAAAAAGCAGAATCTGTACGAAGAAGCCTTGGAGTGTTTTTGGAAAGTTCGGAATATCGTTAGACATGATCCGCAAACACTATACCAGCTTGGTCATCTATATCAGTTGATGAATGATGTCGATCAAGCATCTGAATGGTATTTTGTTAAATCGTTCTTTATTTCCTTAATTTTATGAAGAATTCATTTCTGACAGTTGTATGCTATTGCTACCATTCCACTCAAATTTTGTACTAATTTATGAATGATTGAACATTATTTTGGTCATTGCAGGTATAATCAGTTGTTGGGTATCATATCATCTGATCCAGGAGTTTTACAAAAAATGGGGGAGATGTATGACTCAATAGGAGATCAGCAGCAGGCGTTCCAATTTTATAGCGATGTAAATAATTTTTATTTTTAATTATGTAACCTTTAGATTATCTAATAATATATTAATATTTCAATTTTTATACTTAATTATTTATTATATACTTTTCTTACAGTCTCACAGATTCTATCCTGCCAATTTTGAAGTAATAGATTGGATTGGCTCTTATTTCATATCGATGCAGGTATACGATTAGCTTTTGCTATTAACAGTATATCGTTCAAGATAATAAGTTTAAATTTCTTAAAGGTTGCTGAAAAGGCGTTGCCTTATTTTGAAAAAGCGGTAGAACTTGTACCAGACGAACCAAGATGGAGATTACTAGTAGCTGCGTGTTTAAGACGCACAGGGCAATTTCATAAAGCACTCGCAGAGTATCAAGATATCCACAATAAGTTTCCGGATAATATAGAATGCCTAAAGTTTTTGATCAGACTTTGCAGTGATCTGGGTTTGAAAGAAGCGCAGATGTATACTGCTGAATTGAAAAAGGCCGAAAAAGCTAAAGAACTGAAAGAAAGACAAGGTTCAGCAAGGCCAGGTACAACAGGTAATCTAATAAATATTGACATAATCTAATTAGCAATTCAGGAAAAATAATTTATGAAAATGTGATGAATGTATTGAGTAAGAGTCGATAAAAATTAAAAGATACATCTCAAACATTCGAGTATTCACTTTTTTTCAAATTTGTACATCTAAATTGTATATCAGTTGTATCTCAATTGATTGTATTGTATCGCAATTTGTATATCTAAATTTTGAAAATATATTTTATGCAGGATCTAGGAAGAGTAACAGTGGAACATCATCACGGGCTGGATCAGGGCTGAGTGTGTCAGATCGTAGACCAAGTCCGGATCGACGACCAATTTCAGGCCGAAATGATTATCAAGGTACGATAATTACAAATTTTGCAATATAATCACTTTTCATATATCAATATCTCTTTTTTTAATTTGCTATTTAATACTAATTCCATAAAAAAATATTAGATCTATTATTTTATAAATTCATGTATTTTATATTACGATTTAATTACCGTTTTGCGCATTTCTAATAAATCCTGACGAGAGTTTTTACTGCAAAATTTTAACATTGTATGATCTTTATGGAAAATTTAGCAGCCATTCAGTTAGTAATGGTTTAGCATTACGCGCTTCCATTGAAAGCAAACATCAGCAAAAATGATCTACAGACAGTATGCGAATCGCTCTAATGGATTGAATAAATGATGGATGGCCGCGGTCGCTTTGACTAGTCTATTCTTGTTCTCTCTTTATCACTGAATACTCGTCAAACTGTTATATATTACTGATCCGTGCTATGAATCTAGAAATGGACATTTGTGTTGTATTTATATATCCGGCCTACCTCTGTCGCATGTAGTATTTACAATAATATGTTATGACTGATTATTTGACTCCAAGTCTATCCAAATATGTCAAGCATTCATTTATTTGTGGAAATTATCAAAAATAAAAAAGCAATTTTCTTATTTATATTTTCCATTGCTTTTAGGCACGAGTTACGCAGACCCTATAGGACCTCTCCCTACTCGCCCTATGACAGCTGCTGGAAAACGAGATGACGATTTTGGCGACGAGGAGCTCGGAGATGATCTCCTGCCCGAGTAATAATATCGCATAGATTTATATTTTTTCATGAGATTATATAATCGGAAACTGTAAGTAGATTAGATTTTAATTGGAAGTAGTATGTAAATTATATTGCAACGACACACACGAATAAGTTTTATGATCATTTTTTTAAGCCACTTATTACGAAAGAGTAAGAATATTTTCAAAATTGGAAAGTCGTAAGTTTTAAAAATTTGCATATTATATTAATTATGTTATTATTTTATTCGCATAAAAGCTGTTTAGAATGTGTGATTTCTTTAATAATAGTTTATGATGACTAATTTGTATAATATTATATAGTTATATGTTTAATTATTTGATTTAGTGCCACGTGACATTTTTGTCACGTTAATGTTATCGTGGTTCACATTAATTACACATTGTGTATCACAGTTGCAATAAAGCTTGTTTCACACGTAAAAAGATTATCCGTCCAAATCTATGACGTACGTTATGTGTATTCGTATATTTTTATTAATTCTTTAAAGATAAAGAATAAGCTGAATTCTTTAAAGATAAAGAATGAGGCTAGGTCAACGGATCAAATGTTTTCTACTGTATTTTCAGACGATCAGAATCATGCGATCATGTTTGACATCTCTTATTGACCTTACGTCAATGGCCCCGAAATCAAGGAATCCTTTTATCGCATATTGCGTATTAAAAAATTAAAGAATTCTGTCATACAGATACATTACGTTGCCAAATATTATTTCTTTCCAACTCTGCAAATTCACGGTAATAATATTTCTGATAAAAATTTCATTGAGCGGGAATTAATTTTTTAGAGCTAGAGCGGTGTCTAACGTAGCGAAGCTTTAATCGCAGGCTTTAAATCGCAATCGAGCTCAAATTTTGGTATTATAGATATGAAAAAATATTTACATATAATTCTGAAAGAACGATGACTGGTACGCAAAGCTCCTTACACACTGTTTTTATTTAAATTCCAATTGAAATTAAATGAATCAATTTATTCCTTGTTTTCCACGATTGTATTGACGCTGCCGAATACTTTTGCGTTTCTTGAAAAATTGGTTAGCGAATCTACGAAAATATGCACGTAATAAACAAATGCATTTATCAGAATTTCGATTGTTCCGAGTTATTGACCGAGTATTACAAAAGATTCTAATCCCCCGAAAATTCTGTGATTATCAAATGGATCCAGTGAGCCCGGTAATAATCGGAGTATTTAATTTTGACGCGGCTGATAATCGTCGATAATAACGCAATGAGTGTGCATTCTAGCTTGTCGTAATTTCACCATTTTGAATGCAAACACAAGGCATAAAAATGCAAAGTTCTACACTGCCTAGAAAATCATAATTACATGGACATAGTTAACAGAACAACTGCAAACACATACCTGACGATAATTATGCATCAATGACGTTTTCGTTGCACTCGAGCGAGAAAATAACGACATGGAACGTAACAAGAGGATTTCAATCGATGCCGGGTACACAACGCACACACATACACTCACACACAAGCGGATTGTCGGTACTGAAATCACGATATTAGTTCATAAAAGCGACTGTACACGGATACGACATCAAAACGAATACTTTATGACGCATAAACGGTAATTATTCGCGCACAAGATTTAAACAGTAATAATCGCGAAAAATGTGGACGATTCGAACACGACTCTGCGAGTCGTTGCGAGGCGTTCCGTGACTGATTGGAATGTGACGTTTGCCGAAATGAACGATTGCGATTCTCGAAACAGTTAACACAGCGAACCAATCACGTCGCAGTAATAAGATCTAATCGATTTCGTGAGGTATGCATACTTCACAATATTTGATACAAATATATACGTTTGGTTTTCAGAAAAAAATGATTCTGATCCGAGCACAATACAATTAATATCATATCGTCTTTAATTATATCTAATGTTTGATTTGACCTTACAATGTGCGATCCAATCCAATCGAACGTATTTAGAGATGTAAGATTGGTCTTCGCTAAAGAGGAATGATTTACGGAGCCGTTAGGGTCGGGCAATTGCAACGATCTAAATTTATACACATCGGCCGTTTTAATCAAACTCCATTCAGCTTATGTAGTCTGCACAGACGGATGTTACTTTATTGCTTCTATATATATATGTATATATACTTATACGCGTCTAAACGCAGCAGCGTCTCACACGCATTTTCATACGGTTTGATCGCGCTTTACGTAACTCTTACAATTTTATCAGGTAGACTTGTAAAAATTTATAAGACTAATCGTTTATGTACTGAGCCGAGTACGCGTTTCTTTGTTTTACATGTGCGAATAATTTTACATAATTACTTTTTATAAAAATAAAAGAAAAAACATCAATGACAATTCAATTCTGAGTCGTCGCGATAGTAATTGAGCGCATTATATTGCCTTCTGCGATACTTTCGTTATATAATTTATGATCCTATATTTGAATGATTAAAAAAATTGTGCGAGAAACCGATCGCGCGTTTCGTTTAATGTGTTTTGGAAACAAATAAATCTAGAATATAATTACGCTTGTGTGTGTGCTAAGAACAGGAAATTTATATTAGAACCTTATCCTTAATTTGATATTCAGAATTCTATACATTGTTCCAGACAATGTTTTAATTTGTTTACGCACTCTTCAGTTCGTAAATATTTATTCGCAGTTAAATCTTTCTGGAGCAAACATCGATTACGAAACGGCATTAGCATTTTCCTCATTGAAGATAGCGCACGCGGTAAAAAGTCGGATTCGAAGATAAGGCAAGCTAACGAAAAACCAAACCGGCAATATCCAAGATTCGTTTGACCGATGGTCGACCATGTATCCTAATGTAAGCGGCGCATATGTCGACGGATCTACCTGCGCCGCGCCGTACGTAGGTGTGCATGTGTGCGTGCGTGTGGATGCGTGGGTTGAGAATGAATGGACCGACGTAACTACCGATAACCACTCAATGCATAAACCACGTGCGATCATGAACGCAGAGAACATATCGTCGACTGTTGACTACTCGATCGAATCAAGTACTTTTAAGATTTTACACTTGAAGCGATTTAATCGACCGAAAACCTACTGCGATGCTACTTGTCATTTCTCAAGAACCGCAAAAATTTACGAATTTATATTCGTTTCTTTTTATAAAACAAATCCTCTTCGAGGCGGCTCTTTTGTCTTGATTGACACCCGAGTGTGTGAATGACAGGATTTTGTTATCTGTTCTGGATTTATCACACTCAGTGTGATGCAGAAGTATTTATCTTCATTAAAATGTAAGTCAAAAGTTTTATAATTTTATAATTTATAAGTATAAGTGAGAAGAATGTAGCGTCTCATAAATGGACTGGAAATTGATTCCGATACATTTTACATCTTTTTTTAAATTTGCGACAGTTTTGTTTAGTGAGAATCTTATTTGATCGTTCACTTTTAAGACTCTATTCTTCTTCTCACTAGACAATTAATGTAACATCGTGTGACAAGTGGCGGCTTCTGGATCCAATCAATCTTGCTTGTCCAAATAAGAGTTAATGTTTGAATTTATCTTGAATCGCAAGCACGTGCTACCGCTCGCATTACGTTCAGTCAACGGCCGAGACTCGTTATAGTACATATACGTCAATTGAATTAAGCTTCCTTGAAACAAGCGTATTCCTCGACTAGTTCATAATCAGTTTTTCCTTTTATTTTTTAATTATAAACTATTCAAATAATTGTCAGAATACACATAATCTTACAAAATCTGATTTTCTTCACTTTCAAATAAAAAAAAATTGGCTGGATTTCAATCTTGAAACTTTAGAATTTTAATTCAACTGGCTGCATAACAGGATGTGCAATGTGTAAAAAAATCTAGAGGCTACAAAGAAAGATATTTACAAATATTTACAAAATTTCAGTTTGGCTCTAAATTTAGCAACAAACATGAGTTCAAAGTGAGTTCGACGGCACAATAACAAACCGCTTGTATACAACCGCTTGCGTGATCGTAAAACGCGGCCTTCTGCTACGGGCAGACGTCACGGGGCTCGAAGCGGGCTCGCGCGTGTGCCCGTCGCGACCTCTCGTTCGCTCACGCATTTACTCGCTGTTGAAGTACAGGCGTGACGCATGCGGACCAGTAGTGGTGGATACCGCGGGCCGGCCGATCGCATGGAAGCATACGGGGAGTAAAAAGGAGGCACGACCAGTCGTCGCCCGATCGCCGCGAGTACACTTTGCACTGTTCCGCCTACGTGCGTGTTAGACCAGGAAGCCACGCTTGCGAACAGCAGCCGGAGTCGGTCGATCTTCCATCGATCGAGAGACTGGAAGCGGAAGCGCGTGTGCGAAGTCAGGTACTGTATCATTAAAGCTGGACCAAGTAGTGTCACCGTTCCTAAATGCGCTCCAGTAAACTGCAGTTTCCGCGCCGTCCACTTGTCGATACTCGCAAATTTACGAGAAGTTACAGGCTCGAATCTTTCCTGAAATTTAATTATTAAACTGTTGAATACAGAATGTACAGTTGCAGAAGACTTGTATCGCTGGTATGCTCTTACAGTAATATCTTAACAAGATAATCGGTTACTACATATCGTGATAATCGTGATATCGTGGCGCGATTTTGTTAATTTAAATAAAATTTTCCGATTACGTATGTTTTACTTGTTTAATGCCCGATTCCACCAACGAAGATTAACTTTAATCTCGGTTCAACTTACTCTTCACCTTTTTCTAATTCTTAGAGTTCAACTTACTCTTCACCTTTTTCTAATTCTTAGAATTAGAAAAAGATGAAGAGTAAGTTGAACCGAGATTAAAGTTAATCTACATTGGTGGAAATGGGCATAAGAGATCACACGAAACTTATTGAAAATATAAGATGTTAAAAAAAATATAAAATTATTTTAAGTAGAAATTCATATTTTCTTCCGTATATTTACATATTTACATATATTTATATCAATGACTTTTAAAGTAGTATTCTGATATAAAAGTATGTTTTGTTCTAGTTTTTTTTTGCTAGTTATATATATATATGACAGTTGTGTCATCGAACTTACGTCGAACGTACGATATTTTCTTTTTTTTTCTATACTCCAAAAAAAAATGGAATGTTGATGGGCCTCTTCTATTTGGACAGGTATCTGTGCTTTGTTGAAAGAAATAAGCTCGTGATGTTTCGGTTTTGTATTCTATAGATAATCATCGTTGGATTCCAAAATTTTATCTTTCAGTTAAATTCACTTCCAAGGCACTCGATCCTGCAACTGATAATTTGAATGTTAATACGAGTTCTACATTCCTGCTCGAATATCTTTTATTGCTCTTCTTGACAACTTATAGAGATATTAATTTCTCTCGCTAACCATGTCGGCGAAAATGAACAAAATAGCGTCTGTTACAAAAATCAATCGAGGTCAGGTATTAGAAATCGACGGAAATGGCATTTTTGTATCGATAAATCACGACGGTTTCAAGGATACACAATGGTTTTCCAACGAGATACGCACATTCGCAAATCATACTCGGGCGGTTTATCGATCTAGTACAATCGAAGGAGTGAATGCTCTGATTTGGCGCTCATTTGAACAAACAATGACATACATCGAGAAGAATCGAGATGCCATCGCATTTTAGATATCAAATCGCGACATATACAGGTTCGCGATATTTACTTTGCTGGCGCGAGACCCACGTGGGTCCTTGAAATATTGTGTTGCATGTGTCGTCGCCGGGTATTACACATGTAGCAACATGTGACACTCGCTGGCAGTTTTGCCGCCGCAAAAATTCAGTCGCTCGAAAGAATAAAAATCTACCGATACATATTCACAAATTCCGGCTTTTGCATTTTTTTATATAATCGAAACTACGCGCTATCGTCGACCCTCTGAGATTATATGTTTTTAGATCGCTGTTTAAAGTCCGGTTATCTGTCTGTAGATGTTAAACAAGTACTTTTTCGATATCACGATTGAAATAGTACATGTTTGTGAAGCGAGTCTGCAAGCAATTATAAAAAATTCCATGAAGCTTAAAATACTTTGTGAAGAAAAACTAATTGGGTTGTTGATATTTTTTTACAAGGATTGAATTGGTGTTATTATAAAAAAGAGATTAGTGTTATTATGAGAGATAGATTATCGTGAATATTATATAATCTTATCTCACTATATAACTTGTTTTTTTTTTATTTTATATCTAATTATATATCTGAATTTATGTGATTTTTAATTAAAATTTCCGATATTTATATGTTTTGATTAAAATGATAAAGTATCAAGAAAACTTTGGGTTATTTAATACAAGATTGCATTTTCTTGCACAGTCTCTAATAAATCTGTTATGTCTTGTACAGAAAAAAAATTATATACTGTCAGCTATAATAACTCTAACGATGCGCACACATTTGAGATACGCAAACAAATTTTCGCACAAAACAGCGAACGTACGCAAAATTACGAACCGGCAACTTCTAGCTGATAGCGTGACCGTCGTAAGATACCCGACGTCTCCGATTCTTGATCACAGAAAGTCCAATTTAGTCGCCGCTTTATCGCCGCGCGCCGTGTTTATTCCACGTACGAGTTGCGAAATCACGTAATTGATGTAAGATCGTCAGCGGTGATATTTCGACTGTCGCGCGCTAGATGATATCGAATTCGCGTCCCGCGTTTCTTCCAATTCTTACGGTGATATGTATTATTAAGACGTCAATTATAAGTAAATAAGTGCTGTAATAAAAATCATTTTACGTCATTTCGCGTGACATCCGTTGCACTTCGGTCATTTGACAAGACGTTATCACATCGTCCAATGTCATTTATTCTATTTCGTCTTGCATCTTGTTTCTGAAATTAAAAGTTAATCATTTCAATATCTCTGCTGGTTAGACTCTGTTATTTTTACAAAAAACTACGCGTGTGCTATTTAAAACGCGTTCTATTTAAATAGAATTCACTCACTCACTCTGCGCTGAAGTTTGTTAAAATTATCACTTTCGTATTTTTCGGAGTTATGAGTCTCTTGAATGGGAAAAACGTTGCTTTATGCTCGTTATTTATGCAGGATCATTCGCAAAAACTTGTTCGAATGTGGTAGTTACAGCTAAAAGCATTTAAGAATGCGACATTTTTTCACGTTCAACTCCTACGTACCTTCATCTCACGCGGATTTATACGGTGCCCTTGCTGATAATAGTCATGAATTACGGAAGTTCCATTATTCAAACGGCAGGCAGATTATTTATGAGCTGCGCTCTTTGGAGAAGCGCACTCGATTAGATAACCGGAGTGCACTTGACGCCAAGCCTAATCTTCAAGAGTTGTACAATATCGACTAAGGATGAGTACATACATTGCTCTCGTAACGAAGATAAATCATACATCGTGTTTCCTGCTTTTGTTCTATCTAGCCGATTTCAATTCTGATAACGAAATTGTGCTAGAACATCAAAAGTTGAATTAGATGTAAACATTTGTTACGTTTATATAATTTTAATTTAACTAAAAAGTTTAATATTTTCACTCCTGAACTCTTTACTTCAACATTTTGACTTCAAACTCTTTTACACTCCAATCGTATGTTATCTTAATTGTATTAGAGAGATAAATTCGAACATTAGCATAACTTTCATACATTAACCTATTCAGATATAGAGCGTTTCACGATAAATGAACTTTAATGCATATATTTTTTGCCAAAAGCTGATGCAATTTCTATATAAAAAATATTTGAAATACAAATAATTTTACTTAGAAAAGAAATGGCTTTGGCAAACTGCATACTGGGTGCATCGTATTATTCAGCTAATTTTTAATCGATATTAAAACTTTAGTTTAAAATATTCAATGTTAGGAAATTTTAGAAATGTGGAGAATTTGACATTTAATTAAATTCTAATTAAAAATTTGTTTCAATTTTAAAAAAAACATCAAAGTGTTGACTACATTTGCCAAGCAAAAATCTGCAACAAAACTTATAAAACGAGGAAATATCTTCTATGAGATTTAATGCCAATAAAGTTGCTGGCAAAATCATTCGGCCATGCAGTTATATTAATCTTGCGACGCAGACGACTTTATGCTTACGTCAGATTCGTTAATCGCTGATGCGTTGATGGGCGCAGAGTGTGATAAATGAAGGATGAGCGATGGTGGAATAGTAGGAAGCGTTTCGTTGAAAGTTTTCTATCCGCCACAGCTGCGAGGAGGAAGACAGAGTCTGTGAAATGCCGCGCTATAACGCGACGACGAATGTGCGTGTTGCACTCTAGTATTAGAATCATCACGGCGGGTCAACTGGCTGAATTATCTCGGTTGACGTTTTGCACCTTCCAATTGATTTCAATGGAGCCTCATTCGTCACCGGTTTGCGGCTTGGAAAGAATATTCTAGTTGCTTTTTCGCAATCCATCCTCCACCTGATTCGCAGATTCACGCGAGTCATACGTCCGACTTAGAGTCCAGATTTTGCAATTGCAGCTGTGAAATAAACGCACATTGAAATCAATATACATTTTCAGACATGTTGATTCTAAATAAAGCGCGATTTATGCTCTATATAAAATTTGTATATCACAAACAAAACAAAATAAAATTATTTTATAAGAACTATAACCATCTTTTTTAAATAGAATTATTCAAACGTGTAAAATTTACAGTCTCTATGCACATTGCAGTACGTTTAAATGCATGTCTCAGCGAAATACTGCAGTGAGAGCAGAATTTCTCCGGATTACCTTGAGAGTGAGATCGGATGAACTAGGTGTGAGCCAAGTATGGAAATGAAAAAAAAATTTATGCATAACGATAGCATGCGACAGACAACCCATCCGAACTGGTCAATCGAGCTCGAAAGACGACTGGTTCGACTTTCATGGACACATTTACGTAGGCATGTAAATGTTGTTGATAAGCGCTCTGTTGTACATGCATGGCTTCGTCGCGTAAGAATTGATGATAAATTGATATTCAAGCGTCCGCGACTGTATTAACATCCATTGAAATCGAGTCTGATTAGATTCGTTATCGATAAATCAATTGAAAGCCAGACGCTGAAATATTTTTATTTTTTATTTTATTATATGCTTATTCTATTTTTGGACTTTTGATCGTCAAAATTCGACGTTCTTTAAAAATATGCGCTAATCAAAGCTAATTTTGGTCAACGTGATGTTTCCTTTCTTTTTTGCATATCTGCTTTGCATAGCTTGACAATTTGAGAATTAATGCCCACTTGACACTGTATATGTGTAACAAATTCGCTATGATCTTATCATTTCACAAACTCGCGTCATAAGTACTTTACATACAAAATTTAGATACAGAGTTCATGGTATATTTAATTAATTAAATGCTTTACTGCGCATAATCGTTGATGCAACGCGTATTTAATTTTTTCAGTCTTCCCATCAGACTACTAATTGATTTATAGCGATACACAATAATATGTTACAGCGGAGAACCCGGTCTTAGACGCACGATTTATGAGCGTAGCAAACCGTGTTATCAGAAACTGCGTACTCTAGACTTTCCCTCATTATCAATCATCGTAAATTCTTGCATATGTAGAAGGAATAAACATAATTAATTGTCATTATAATCTTATGAAGTTGAATTCAGAAAGCATCGCTTCAATGGATATGAATAAAAAATGCAGATTAGAGTTATATACGAGATGTTTAAAAAAGGCGACTCACCGGGTTAAGAAAAAATTACATCGTAACGTTGTCCATTTCGAAGAAAGTAGATAATGGTAGTGCCCTCATCACACCATACGTCATGTGAATTGATAAAGCTGTGACCGTCTATCGACCCTGCCGATATATGAAGCGACATTTGCGATAGACTCGCGAATGTCCAATACATATTATACCGTCGAGATAATAGAAAGAAAGTAATTAATGATAGCAGACGTTATGTCTAGCAGACATCCGCAACGATATTTTAATTAGAGCAAAACTGTATTACTGTAAATGTGACATGTCGCATTTTTACGTTTAACATAAAGCGACGATAAAAACTTCCATTGACAAAACATCGCTTTGCGATACATTATCTCTGTTCGCATTATTTCATCGTACTTTAACATGTTTGTATTTTATCAATTTTTTGTTGAGTATTTTGCAATCTGGAAAAAAATAGAGCTTGTTAATTAGTGCAGTGAAGAATTAGTTTCACTGAATTGCTATGGATTTTTTCACAATTAAAAAAGTACACTCTTAATGAAAGTTAATAAAGCGTTTTTTGGCTTATTCCAGATAGCCAAATATTAGCTATGTTTTTAATAAAGCTAACATTTTGGAATTGGCGCTACAAGCCAGCTCTAATATTCTACAAAAATTTCTCTGAGATTATCAATGTTCTCTTTCTTTCAGATATCTGATAACGGCTCGACATGGTCGTACCTACAGATCACGCGCTCCACGAGGGGCTTCAAGTATCGCCGCTTATACTTTCCGACGATGTTAGGCGACAAAAAGTGAGTGTAATGCATACTTGAACTATAGGCGACATTGCGTCCGTCAAAAATATAACATCTATATTATATGGATAAAATGTTACATCTATCTTATCATCAATGCTGAATTTCATAAATTGTTGCCCTGAACTTCTGCTCTCTCATGCTAATCGTACGATGAAGTTAAAGGCCGATAACGAAATCTCGTGTGATATAGATATACTTAACGAAGCAAGTGACAATCGGCACATTTAGTTTAAATTCTCGCCCGAGAATAGAACCATTATACGTAAATTACTTTATGTAATTATTTTTTGTGAAAATTTGTAAAAACTAGAAATAAAAATTAAGCCTTAAAATATTTACAAAAAACTCAACCTTTTTATTCGCTTTCACGAGCTATTATTTAACGAGCTTTAATGAGTAATTAATTAATCTAACCTATAAATAACAGATGAAACAGGTTTTCTAGTCTACCGACATTAAACATGAATAACATTTATTCCGCAAACAATAATAGATTATTGAGACATTATAATGAAGAATAAATTCTACATACGATTTTTTTAAGACGATGCAGACTATACTTCGTTTAAGTTTAGGTTATGTAAACCCTTTTTGTCTGTCTAGCTTTCCGATGTTGATTATTGAACAATCGATTTTTCGCACGATATGTAACGCCGATTAAGAAAAGATATGACCGATCAATTACTGCTACACCCGATTCCATCACATATAAGTAGCACGGCGAATGGAGTCTTTAACCTTGCGACATTCTAGTTAAGAATTTAATGACATGAGTCAATGATCTGCAAGTATTTTTTGCTTTAGTTATACTAATCACACATCAAGTAAGCCATTAGATATTACGTACCAAGCCCTTTAAGTCGTAATAAAGTTTCTTCTCTCAAAAACAATTTTGGAACGTGAAAAAGTTTGACATTCTCTGATTCTCGATATCTGCAATTGTAAAGCATTACATAACGTTTTTACGTAACAAATTACAAATTGATTCCTTTAATGGAAATTATTGCTTCGATTATCTTTTCGGTGGTATCATCTTCTCAACATTGAATCAAATAACAAATACAGTAATAATTTGTGAATAACACTCGAAATACAACAATAACGCGCGTAACGCATTTTCTCTAACAGTAGAAAGTTCAACTTCACTTATTCGATTAATCTGATGTTGTAATCTTGTTTAATTTATGACGATTACGTTGGCGCGCCTGGTATCGAAAGCATAAAGCATAGTTCAGATCATTTGGATAAAGTTGGATTAAGTCGGATTTTGAGGTTATCATGATTTCCGTCATAAACCGATTTTTATCTCGCACTTTAAGTCAAAGGGTTATCAAGAGGTAATACCGCGTTGTTAAAAGTTCAAGTCATGTGAACGGTTTATCGGTATAGATAACGAAGCTTTTTAGCAACTTGCGAATCGAGAGAAAGAAAAACTGATCTCTAGCTTATGTCGCATTCGCATTATCCGTAATAATTTGTATTAAATTTACGATTGTGAGTAATTTTATTTACGTGGTAAGTTATTCTGTGCTATAAAATAAAGTTGTATAAGAATTGTATCATGCAACTTTTATTGAACTTACATCATAAGCTTATTTCACAAAAAATATAAAAAGATTATCATTTGCGATTGATGATACAAGATTAAATGTAGAAAAATGTAGAATTAGTTCTGTAGGAATATCTCCGTGAATTATCACGTCTAAAAACTATTGTATGAAATAAGATCGTACACGGTTATCGACGTAATATAAGTCGCATTGTGTGCGCTAACGTGAGCCGAAAGGATCAGCCAAGTTTGCAAATATACAATTACGCTTACAGCATTTTCTCACGGTTTACTTTTATTTGCTTCGATAAACAAAATATATTATAGTTTTGCAGGAACGCGTAGCATTTTACTGAGCAACACACCTCTCTTTTGCATTATTAATTCAAGAAGTGAATTATGCAAGCTTATTATACTAGTTCCCACTACTAGGCATAATGATGAATAGCTGTTCTTAGTTGCACGTCGTAACGTGCGGTTGAAAGTCAACAATTTATGAATATCATCACAAAAAAAAAAGACATTGATGCAACTGAGGTGTGTAAATCTTACCTTATGTTAGCTATAATTAATTGATATACGATACTCCGGGTGTAGCGACGCACGATTTCCTAGTCTGTATATTTAGAATTCTATTGGATACTGCGTAATATACGTAACAATGTAAACAATATCGCACTTGAAGCTGCGGCTCGGTATGTTTGCCGAAGTGACGACAGGATTTACGGATCGCGGCAGATTTTTCTTTTTGTGACGACGATGACGGAGTTATTATCAGATTACGACATACAAGTGTTACATGCCACACACAACATTTAAAATATAACTGTTTGCAGATCGAGAATCATTTGGCAAAGATGCGATTCTCTGCAGCCACCGCCAGGAAGATTCAGGATGTTTTTATTTCGGAAATGAACAAAGGAATCCACCAGCAACCGTCCTCGCTACAAATGGAAAACACTTACATACCAGAATTGCTGGATGGAACAGGTCATTAGCGAAGTTTCCACTTAATCCCGTAATGATAGCGCTGATATATCGTTCTGATGTATACTTTATATCGCATCTATAAGATTTATCATTACTTTGTAAAGATATTATCAATGAAAGCAGAGGTAACAAGAATATTATACGAAATATGTTGAGATTTTATTTCGATAATAAAAGATACCCGATTAAAAGATAATGTTAATTATTATGGAAATTAATCTGTCCAGAGGAATCTAGGAGGATAGAATCTTGATAATTTTTTTATTCGAAATTACAGAGAGAAATGTTTAAAATATGTTTATAACATTCAAAATTATCTTGTAAAAGTTGTTTTTCATTTTTTAATAAGCTCATAAATATGATAAGAATTTAACTTCAAAGAGTCTTTTAATAATTAATATAATGACATTCTTTTACATACACAGAAATAACAATTTTAATTTAAATTAGTTAAAAATGAAAAACGAAAAAGAGAAGTAAAATAATAAAATTATTATACTGTTAGTTCTTTAAAAATAAATAATGATGTAGAAGGTAATGAAAATTAAAAGTGCGTTATCGAAGTACCAGAACTATGAATTATTATCAATCAAGATACAAAGATAATAAATCGCGATTTTGGTTCTTATTGCTTTCTATCAAAATTATCATGTTACATAATTTAATTTAACTGATAGCGAAATATTTGAATATTTGTAGAAGGAGGTCTGTTTTTGGCACTCGATCTTGGTGGTACTAATTTCCGTGTGCTCCTTCTGGAATTGGCTAATGGTGCTCCCATCCGACAAGAAGTGAAGCGATACTACATCGGACCGGAGTTACGAGTTGGTTCGGCAGTCCCACTGTTTGATTATTTGGCCAAGTGTGTTAGTGATTTTGTCATCGCTCAGGGTCTTCAGGATGTAGAGCTTCCTCTTGGTAAATTGAGTTCCGCATCTAGTGTAAGATATCGATGCGCGAAACTTTTAATTAACACAAGCTACTGCACCATAGTCTACAAATAATCTCGACAAAATATAATGAAAAACAGTTTTTGTTTATTCCTAGTTAATAATGTTAGCAGATAAAGAATAATGTTAGTGGATTAGATGTTAGATTAATTTCTGTATTTTGCATTTTTCCACTTTTAATCTTAACAATTTGTTTTTATGCAGGTTTTACGTTTTCGTTTCCAACAATTCAACACTCGCTGGACGTCGGTGTTTTGGTGACATGGACGAAGACATTTAATTGTAGTGACGCCGTAAATAAAGATGTGGTGCTACTGTTACATGAGGCCTTAGATCGACGAGGCGACACGAAGGTAAAAGTCGTGGCGATCTTAAACGATACCACGGGCACTCTTGTTCAGGGCTCAACTCTGGACTCCGATACAGCAGTTGGACTTATCTTGGGAACTGGCAGCAACGCTTGTTATCTAGAAAATGCGGATCGAGTAGAACATTGGGAACCAGAAAGACACGGGGAGAGACAAGTGAGTTATCAATATTATAGTTATAGAGTTATATTGTTTCTGAATCAATTGAAGAAACTCCTTCACTTTTTACCTTTCTCTCGTATAACGTATTAGATGCAAAAGGAAGATGTGCTGTTTTTTTTTTCAAACAAATTTTCGCTTTTTATTATTGGAGATATTGATAAAGGCATGTCACACACACTACGTTCAATTTAAAATTTAACATAATCTTTAATAATATTTATTATTACTTAATATATTTTTTTTATATTACGTTATCCTCGTAGTGTATATACTCACACATTATTAATCTGATTTTCGTCACTCAAGGTTATCATCGATATCGAGTGGGGCGCTTTTGGTGACAACGGTGTTTTGGACTTTATTAAAACGGATTTTGATCGTGAGAACGATGCTAATTCGCTTATCGTGAATTCGTTTACGTAAGTGTGCAAATTCGTTGCATTATCTTTAATTATGTTGTAATTATTCTACTTCAACTGAGTGGATGTACATTTTCGATAGCATCATAATTTATCGGTTTTAATCAGTTATAAAATTATGTTAATATATCAAGCTTGATAAATTGAATCAATAATTGACTTTGTTAATATTTTTATGAAAGAATTGTTGATAGAAATAATTATATAAATCTTTTCTATTTTTTAAATTAAACATAATTTAACCAAGAATTTTAGAAAGGTGCACGCGGCGCAATTAGCTCCTAGGATGCGATGGTACCTCATTGTGACTTCTTTCCTTAGATTTGAAAAGTACATTGGTGGCAAATATCTCGGTGAGGTGGTGCGTGTGATACTTGCGAGGTTGACCAAAGAGGGGCTTTTGTTTGTAGGAGAAAATACATCGCAGAATCTTCTAACACCAGGCACTCTTACCACCGATCTGGTTTCGCACATCGAGCAGTAAGTGAATTCAAATCAATTTAATTGATTTAATCTGAAAATATTTGTGTGCATAACGCGATTATTTGTTTTGTGACATTAGAGATTCGGTTGATGGCGGCGATACCAACACGAAGGAGATCCTTGCGAAATTTGGTATCATTCCGGACCAGGATGACATCAAAGTTGTGCAATATGTGTGCGAGGTCGTCTCTAACCGTGCAGCTCTCCTTGTATCGATATGTATGTAATGAAGCTACTTTAAACGCCAGTTGAAACGAAGATAAAGTATAATCTCATCGATTATTTGTGTTGAAGGTCTGGCGAGTTTATTGGATCGTATTGATCGAGAACAAGTAACGATTGCTGTAGATGGATCTCTTTACAAGCATCATCCTCGATTAGAGAACTGGATGAAACAGTACATCTCGCTTCTCACTCCAGGTCGAAAAGTATGTAAATTTTAAATCAAGAAATTTTTGTTTAAAAAGAAACATTACATAGATAAAAGTTAAAAGAAAATATATAATGCTTCATAAGAATCTGTTCTTAGAAATGAGCATTCTATTATGTTTAACACAAAATTTAATTTAATTTATTACATGTTTAAAATTTTTATATTTAGAAATAAGAAATGATTATTTTTTATTATGTATTTCACGTTTTCCGCATATTTAATATTTTTTGTCATTGATAAATGCTTTGTTATATCATAATAATATTTTTATTTTGAATGCAGTTTAAATTGATACACGCGGAAGATGGAAGTGGCAAAGGCGCCGCGCTCGTCGCTGCTATTGCACAAAGAATCAAAAAGCGATTAGAATAATCGCGAGTACAACATCGTGGATCACTAGAGTGTCTTCTTGCAGTCGCAATCGTCGTTAGCGTGGCACAACATTATTCGAATTGTCGATAATCATAGATATATTCCGCCATCAGGCCTTAAATGAATACCATCCGTTGCTTTCCACTAGTATCTGTGAATTACACATAACATTTACATTGAATTCTAATGGATTGCACAAGTTTCGATGGGAACAAGTTCAGGCGTTACGAAATTATAGCGGGATGCGTTCGCATACCTCGCGATGAAACGAGGTGTCAAAAAGATAGGGGTATCGATCGACCAGACGATGCGGGAAACGTCTGTGCGCGTGTGCCATTTTAGGAAAATGAATACATGCTCGCGTCAAGAAATGTTCACGAAATGAATAACTGAAAGAGTAAAATGATATTATTTATTAAATAAAATCGCAATGATAGAACGCATGTTTGCGAAGTTAAAAGTTGTTACATATTGTAATTGTTTGGGAACGTTTTTTTTTTTGTACAAGAAAAGTCAACTTGTTATAATAAAAAATATTGATTTATTTTAATCGAGTCTTGTTTATTTATTTGACGTTCTTGAGTTAATTAAGTACATTAATTATGCATTAAAAAATGTTTGCATAATTTTTATATTTATCCTAAATTTTGAATTTTATTTTTATCGTACATTATAATACTTTAATGTTATTTTCAATATTGAAAATTATATTGATTTATTGCAATTGATTTATTATTTTATTAATTTTTAATTACTGAAAAATATTTCGTATTTTTTAGGTTAAAATACTGCGATTGGTATCTCTGCAGAATCGAAATTTCAAGTTATCAAGTTGTCGTCAGTGCGTCGTGTCGGTTGTAGAATTGCATTTAGTCGCTCCGTGTTTTTCACGATTATTATTCTTTCCACGAGAATTTTATGTATGAAGAGTTTACAAAAATATTTTACAATTCCTCGTAATATCATAAGTATGCAAGCGTTATTATATACCAAAATCATAATTTCAGAATCGATGCTCGCTTTCCGAGTGTTCGGTGAATCAAGCGAAACTGTCTTGACGCATTTCAAGTAATTTTTTCATCGAATTACAAGAAAAATACAATGAATACGATTTTATGAAAGTATGATTATTATCAGGTATGTAAATGTTATTTTGTAATTAGTTGCATTAATTATGTTTTTTTTGAAAATTAAGCGTATATTTTTATCATGTGAAGTGTGCACATTTTACGAAATCGATTAGATCTTGTTACTGCGATGTGATTGGTTTAATGTGTCAACTGTTTCGAGAATCGCAATCGTGCATTTCGGCAAACGTCAAATTCTAGTTAGTCACGGAACGCGTCGCGACGACTCGCAGAGTCGTATTCGAATCGCTCCGTATTTTTCGCGATTATCATTGTTTAAAGCTAAATCTCATGCGCGAATAATCACCGGTTGTGTTTCATAAAGTATTCGTTTTAATGTCGTATCCGTGTACAGTCGCTATTATGAACTAATATCGTGATTTCAGTATCGACAATCCGTTTGTGTGTGAGTGTGTGTGTACCCGGCATCGATTGAAATCCTCTTGTTACGTTCCATGTCGTTATTTTCTCGCTCGAGTGCGACGAAAACGCCATTGGTGCATAATTATCGTCAGGTATGTATTTGCCGTTATTCTGTTAACTATATTTATGGAATTGTGATTTTCTAGGCAGTATAAAACTTTGCATTTTTATGCCTTGTGTTTGCATTCAAAATGGCGAAATTGCGGCAAGCTAAAATGCACACTCATTATTGCGATATTACCGACGATTATCAGCCGCGTCAAAATTAGGTACTCCGAGCTCACTGGATCCATTTGATAATCACAGAATTTTACTCGGGGGATTAGAGTCTTTAATAATACTCCGTCAATAACTCGGAACAATCGAAATTCTTCTAAATTTATCTGCATATTTTCGTAGATATATCGCAAATCAATTTTTCGAGAAACGCAGAAGCATTCGACAGCGTCAGTACAATTATAAAAAACGAGGAATAAATTGATTCATCTAATTTCAATTAGAATTTAAATGAAAACAATGTGTAAAGAGCTTTGCATGCTAGTCAACGCTTCTTCAGTATCGCATGCAAATATTTTTTCATATTTATATTATCGAATTCTGAGCTCGATTGCGATTTAAAGCCTACGGCTTTAAAACGGATAATGCTTCGCTACGTTAGAGCACCGCTCGCAGTGCGCGCGATAAGTCAGTCTATTGATCTTGTTGCTAGGTGATTCGCGCTGCGCTACCGCCGCGTTAAAAAGCGCCCGATGGCGGCCATTTAAAATCTAGCTGCGCTTTCCGCCGAGCGATGGCAGATGGCAGCAGCGGCGTGCGCGCGGGACAGCTCCGAGCCGCTCGCCGGAGTGACAGCTCGCGAGCTCGAACTGTCATCGGCGGTATCGCGCGCGTTCGTGTACCGTGATCGCGTATCCCGTGCTGCGAGTAAACGTATCCTGCCGGTGCTCGTGTAGCGAGCTCGTGCCGGTGACGCCGAGACGTGTCCTCACCATCATCGTGCAATCACATTTCAAAATCGCGTCTTTTTTTTTTCCCCAGTCGAAAAAGCCGAACGGCCGCTGCGCATGGTGGGTGCGCACGCAAGGGAGAACGGCCTGCACCGCTCGCCGCCGCCGGCTCGGCCAGTCTGCTGGAAGATTCCACTGTGAGAGTAGGCTTTCGAAAAGTTTCGCGGAACCGCCGGCGAGTTTTCGCGGAGACCCCCAGTCGTCGGCTCACCGGGACGTCACCGGACAGATCAGGTACCGTGTTCAAGTATTTATCTGCCGGTCGAGGGCGCCTTTACGAAATTCGCGAGTGTATGTGTGTCCCTCTGTCCATGTGTGTGCGTGTACATGAGTGCCGTGTAACGTGTGTGCGAGAGAGAGAAAGAGAAAGAGGGAGACAGGTTGAGATTATTACAGCGGTCGCTCTCTCTGGGTTCAGCTGGGCTCTCAGCTGATGCACCGACCGACCGGTTCGCCGTCTTGATTTTGTGGACGTGATGTAGCGCTCGTAAGCCCGATCGTCGTACGCTTCGTCGCGATGACAATGACAGGTCGCGGTTTAAGGGATTCGCCGTCGCGCTACGAGATTACGCGGCTGCGTGTAATTTACACGGGAGCGGAAAATTTGGCTGACGATCAGCCAATGATCAACGATGACGTCGATCGGCCCTGCCCGTACGTCGAAGGCACGGGAGGCTTGAGGGGGGGAGGAGGGCGTTCGTTTAACCAGGGTTAGCGCTAACCGAGATCTCTCGGAATCGAACGCTCGCGTACTTTCCGACTCGTACATATGCGTTTAATTCCGAAATGGAATTCAATGGTTAAGTGTTATTCGAAAATGAGTTTATTCCGTTAAAGCTCTCGCAAAAGTGCCGTGTCACTCTTGATTACTTATGGGAACGTCGTTCTTTTGTTCTCTAAAGTCGTTGTTATCAGCACTCCGCTCGCGTTTTTCGCAATTTCGAGCTCCGGACTCATTTCAGTTTCAATTTCTGTGATCATTAATACTTCCTACAAATGTGATTGTTGTTATTCGTACGAATATTCATGATTGGAATTTCGTTACAGTTGCATATGTAATTACTGCAATTGAATCATTAATTTCTAATAACGGAGGTATTGAAACTGATTTTTCAACAATACGCTTGTGATTTCCTTTAAAGGATACGTAAATGATATTTTTCTGAAAATCTGCGCGAGTGATAAAACACGACGATTGACGATTAAAAGATTAATCCTTTTAATTCAGTTCAAAGCAGTTTTGATAAATGTTTTAACGTTAAATATTTCGTTTTTATTTTGTTATATTTGTGTGTCGTTTAACGTGACACGGTATTATTGTACAAAAGTACGCTATAATTTTAATGGCGTTTGAAGGTACATGGGTCAGATCTATCATGTTATTTGTTAACCTGATCGTGCATTTTTTACGCTTCTGTCAGGAATGACTTTCCATCCGCTCATACGAGTACGTGATACTTCGCGCACCGGCGATTTTACCTCTCGAGATCCTCGCACTACCACAACGCGCAGCGTCGATTCTCGGTGCTGACCTCGACAATGTCACGTCGCGCAATAACTGATTGATATTTCTTTAAAAAAACGATCGTGAGAAAGTTGATATTTCTTTAATTATTTCGGATAAGAAGATACATTTTCACGTGTATTTGTGGATAAATTTTTTATTATTAATTATTCAATTAAGAGAATAATATCATGTAAAAAATAGTGAAGAATTGAAGTGTTTTATAAACTAGAATTTTATCGCGAATAATAGCGTTAATACAAGTCGGAAATTACCGTGGCAATTTCTAATTGATATCCATTTTCATTGTTTTATACGCGAAACATTGGCATTCAATTGCATTTGATAGTTTCACAAAGTGAAAAGTTAATGTATCAAAAATACATCAAATTTTCAAATATTTAATGCGCCCCGCTTTTAGGATCAATTGTCCTTCGCTCATGGCAAAAAAGTGTTCTATTAAATAAATTACTTGTTCAAATGAATCAGCGATACGTTCCGCGCATGATTGCACAAGTGGGAGCACTCATTCACTCAACCGCGTAACTTTGACTGTTGCACAAAGGTGCGCCGAATTTATTCGCGAAGAGTCGGAATAATTGTACGTGACGATATTCGCCATAATAAAATGCATTAATCATTTGTCAGTCACTTTGCTAGTCGAATTCCACAACTGTAGTCATGAAATCTCATTATGTATCTCTCGTCGGGGATAAGCTAAAATAATTCGCCGAGGACCAAAGTAATCTTGTGTAATGTCATTCATTCCGAAGTAGCTCGTCTTTATGCTACTCTTGAGAGGCATCGCCTAGAATGGCGCCGTACGTTGCGCGAATTTAATTCTGGACCCTTATTGTAACATTTAATTATACCGAGCATCCCGTCAGTATCGCATAAATCATTCAAACTACAGAATTCCGTGTGAGTTAGACTTCATTACTGCAAATGGATTATGTATTCTTTATTTAACATCAGGCAATTAATAAAATTCAATTTTACGTGCTGTGCGAAGATATATTAGAAATTGGCAACTCACGCCAAGTGAAAATTAGTTATCTGAATAATTACCACGTTTTTGGCTCGTATTATGATGTAATATTTATAATTACATAAAAATATAATATTCTTTATTTAATAACAGGTCACTTAACAAAATTTTAATCTGACGATTTAATTTAAAGATATACTGAAAATTTGAACGACAGGTTAATTAAGAAACAATTAGTTATATAAGTAAATACAAAGTTTTTTTTTTACTTTTATTATATGTAGTGTTTTCTTAAAACGCGACGCGTATTTATTAATTAACGCTGGATATTTTTATTAATAGAATTTTTGTTTAAAATATGAATAAAGATCTGATATGTTAAAGCTTGGAAAATTACGTTAAATGATAATTGGCCACGTAAGCGCGATACTAGGTTTATTTTTACTCATACTAGAATATTAGATTTCTATTTTTGTAAAAAAAACGCGACGCGATGCAAATCCGAGTAGAAGATTTTTTCTGGGTTAATCCCACACGATGTCACTCTACAATCTTGTAGCTTGAACATGCTATTATCGCATCTGATCCGAAAGCGCATCACGTCGCGGACACCCTTCTCGCAGTGACTCCTCGTTGGCGGGAGGGATCGTGCAGGGAAACGGCAACGAGGACGACGCGGCACCGTTATCGCTCGCGAATCGACTCGCTTTTCCGTGAAGCGCCGCCGTCGCGCGCGCTGCACCGTGGAGGTCACCGCGCCCGGTTGCAGCTGAGTTTCCAGCTGACGAGCGGAGGCTGCGACCGGTTCTCTCTCGCCATGCTCTTTCCTCCTACTCCTTACCCCACCCACCCTTTTTCTCTCCGTCTTCTTCATTCTCTCTGCGCGCTCCTTTCCTACCGGCCACCACCTCCACCTTTTTCCCTTTAAATTGCCTTTCACGTGCTCCGCGCGACTCTGCCACCGCCGTCGTCTCTCTCCTCTTCTTCGCCTTTGCCGCTCTACCACCTCCTCCTCCCCCGCTGGCTCATCCTACCCTCCCCTCTTCAGAAGTTCGTATTGTTCATCGTCGTCGCGCGCGCACGGTCGGGAACGGCCGACTTCGGTGAACCAGTTCCGAATCGTTTCGTTCGCGCGTCTCTTCGGCACGTTCCGCGTGACGGAGAACGCGCGCCGTCTCAAGTGACGCGACGAGAGTGCGACAGAAAAGAACGCGCGTTAATTCCGGGTGCAGGGAGAAAGAGAAAGAGAGAGAGAGAAAGAGGAAAGAGCGCGCGCGCGCTGACGTTCAGATTGCGCCGCGATTTTTGGCGCCGTCCGAAAAGAAAAATTCGCGCGAACGGCTTTCGAGTGGTCATCCCCGGATGAATCATCCGTAGTGAGAAAAAAGTGAATCTCTAGCCAATGTTTCACACAGCGTACTTTATGGAACTTTCGCCGGGAGAAGAAATGTGAGATGTGTTCCGCTCATTTCCTCGCTCATTTAGAACGTCTATAATCTCCGTCTATTATCAAGGATGTGCTTTAATTGAATAATTTATTTCGCCAACATAATATTTGAAGTTAATTAACAGGTGAAGGTAGTTGAATTTCTCGTTCGTGGCTTCTTGCGCCGAGTACATTCGCGAAACCGCATGCGTTCCGAAATTAACGAGGGAGCGCAATTTTGCGTCGGTCACATTTCGTCTCGCGCCGCGAACCAGTCCTCGGGCAAAAATTTCGCCTTCTTAATTCTCTCTTCCCCCTCCCCCCCCTCCCTCTCCTGACCCATTACCCCTGTCGCGAATGCGACAAAAGGCCGATTATGTTCACAAGAGCTCGTTCCGCGGAGTGCGGTAAAAAAGGCGACGGCGACGATGGCCAGCCGTCGGCGGTGGGATTGCGGTACTTCTGGAAATCTAAACGACTTGAAATTGCGAGCTGGCCGCGCTGGCGAACACGCGATTCGCCGTTTCAAGGCTCGCTCGCTCGCGAAACACAGCCGTAACGTATCCGTACTCCGGGATGCTCGGGTTCAACTCGGTAGCGATTATACATGGGCTGCGATTATTCATTCGCTAACAAGCATCGAGGAAGCACAACATGAAAATTTGATTCTACTTTATTGCCCTCCATTACATCGGTATTTTTTTTTTTTTATTGAGTTCACCTTGCGGGACTTGCAATTAGTTTTAAAAGGCCAGCAGGCGCGCGCATTATTTACACTCCGGAGACAGGAATCCCGTATCGACATTTGACGATTGAGCTACAGCGCGCTCGAGCAAAGTAAATCGATCGGCTTTACCGATTCGCCTCGTCGGTGTTTTTGAAGCGTCGCGACTCGGCGGCGTTCGCGCGCTCGGCCGCGGATCGGCCAGAAAGAAACTCAGCGCGCAGTTAAATTGATCGTAATTGGGCTGCCGACGGCGGCAGTAAAATGTTGCGATCCGGTCGTTCGGCTGCGTTTTATCGTCGCAACAACCGGTTGCATTGTGGATCGCCTGGCTCGTAAAAACCTCGATTGTAAGAGGGGTCCGATCTCGCGGCCATCGGAAGAGAGAAAAATCTACAGACCGGTATTCTCACCGCGCTAAATGTTGCCGTTCGTTCCATAGTCCTTTTCTTTTCCTTTTTTATTTAATGTGAAACGCGCGCTCGATTACAACAGTGTAAAGGACGGTTGCTCGAACTTATTCATGAAAGGAAGAACGCACAAAGTCCAGTAAATAAATTAAGGATTAATCGGCATACGAGTTATGTGAGTT